CCTCATCAGCGATGACCACCAAGCTCTCCTCGGCGGCGACATCAAGGACCTTCTTGATATCGTCGGCGCTGAGAGAGGCACCGGTTGGATTACCCGGGTTGATCACGACAATGGCGCGCACATCGGTGCCGGCGGCCTTGGCGTCCTCAACGGACTTGAGGATCGTGTTGACGTTAGTACCCCACGCCGTCTCCTCCTCGAGGAGGTAAGGAACGCAGCGGGCATTGAGCAGCGTCAAGGTTGCGGTGTAAAGCGGGTATTGAGGGATGGGGACGAGGACACCGGCACTAGGATCGTTGCAGATCACGTTCAGGATGGTACTCACACCCGACGAAGCACCGCTGGTCAGGAACAGGTCATCAGGGTTGGCAGGGAAGCCATCACGCTTCTCAATGAACTTGGCAACGCTGTCCCGGATACCCGGTGCACCCTGGCTGTGACTGTAGGCACCAACGCTCTGCACATTGGCCAAAAGGGCTTGGGCCCGGTCGATCACATCCTGCTTGTATCCAAATGACGTCTTGAGGACCTCGGGGTTTTCCAACAACAAGGGGTTCTCGACGAGACTGAGGACCTGGCGGAAGAAGGTGATGGGCTTTTGATCGAGCTGTTGGGGGTTACCGATGTTGGCGAAGATGACGCTTTCAAAGGGCAGGGACTTGTCGCCATCGACCAAACGCTGACGGTAGGTCTCGGCCTTGACGGCCAATTCACCGCGCACGGCGTACTTGGCGTCCCTAACATGTTGGTTGATGTTGTCGACGTTTAGACATTTGCGGTTCTGGAGGCCCGACAAGGTGCGCTTGGTGGTATATGAGACGGCGGTTTGAGTCATGATGGGCTCTGGATTAACCCGAAGGAGATTAGTGAGGTTCAGAATAAGAAGACTAGTATTCCCCGAAACTGGGAGGAGAATCAAAGTATATAAAGGCCGGAGTCGTTATCGCAACCAAAAATGAGGCAATATGGAAGTAATAACACCGTCTAATAATGAGCAGAATTCCCACCGAAACATTGCGCCCCAAAACTATGTAAGCCGGGGTGATACCCGTTGGTATTTCCCATTGGTATTTCCCACGTACCTGATCGAGCGGAGAGGCACCCCGCAGCGCCACGTGCGGCCGGGCGATATAGGAGGCCATTTGGCCGGCTAATCAGCGCCCTAAGCGGAGAAGCCCGCGCGCTGGATGTGAGCTTATATTGCCAGGACATTTTTGGCGAATGATCAATCAGGGATCAGATTAATTAAAAAAAAGTCCTTTTGGCGCGCGAATCCCCCGTTGTGATTGTCTGCGATCGGAAGAAGAAGGGGGAAAAAAATTAGCCTTGGTCATTGGGCGGTGAACCTGTGAGTCAGCATTTCCCCACAACCCACTGAACCCCGACGGCAGCCGATTACCGCGATAAGCATGAGATATCAACCTTGGACGGTTAGAGATGTGACTATGTTGTAGTTACTCTGTACAAGATTTGATGATGAGAACTACAGCGTGTACACACACGTACACACCTTGGAAGATCTACGTTCATGCATGACAGGATCGGCGATGATCATTTTCCGAGGGGAACCTTGGAAGTTTAGACGGTTGCCCGATGTCGACCCATTTTCCGGAGCCGCCCGATGCGGGAATTAACGAATATGGAGAGACTTCCAAGGCTTTAGTCAAGGACTGATCGTTCCTGCATATATGGCATGTTATAGAATATATAGGGTCAACCCTGGGGTTAAGAACACGAGGTAAATAAGAAATAAGATCGTCTATTCAGGCTAAATATTCGATCATAAGTTGTAGTTCTGAGGCCGTGAACGACCCTTGTCATGCATGAGTGGCATGCTATAGAGTGTACAAGACCAATTCTAGGGTTTAGAACACGAGGCACATTATAGAATCTACGGGGCCAATTCTGGGTTTGAGAGAGGTAAGTAAGATTGTCCATTCAGGCATACATAATTGATCATAGGTTGTGGTTTTGAGGCCCAAAATGCCCCCAGGGTCGTAGATATACCACTCTAGCTTCGCTCACTCCCCCGAAGACGCACAGCTTGGCCGTACTTCTGGATCTTGGTAATCAGAGAGTCACCATGCTTTACAACATCGGCATACTGCTTGTTCTTGTCATCTGGCCGATTCGTCTCGATGATACCATTGACACGATCGATGGTGCATGCAATGCGGTTGTTTGAAATGAACTTGGCAAGGTCCCTGTGGCTATGGTCAGCAAATGAGGTAATATTCGAAGAGAACTAGACAGCACATACCGGTCCAAGTAGTCTACTGTCACACCAAAGTCGTTGGCCATGCCACTCAGCCCCACCACGCGGTAACTCTGCAGAAGCTGCTGGTAGGCGCGCAGTCGCATCTCACGAACAAACCAAGCTCGGTGCTCGTACAGATACCGGTCTTGTGTCAGGAACTGGTCCTCAACGGCGGCGAGTGCCACGAAGAATGAGCGGTAGTTGCCGTTGTAAAGACTGGTAACCAGGTTTGCGAGCGGTGCGAAATCGACGGGTACCTCGGCCTCTACTGCCAAGCCGGAGCCGGTTGAGAAAGAGGAGATGTTGACAGCGCTCTTGGCACCGGCGGGTATAGGTAGTGTCGCCGTTGCATCCTTCATCTCCTCATCCCGGGCACCGGGGCCCGAGGAGATTTCCCCACTCAGAGCAGCCAGTTGGTCTTCCCCAGAGCCAAGGATAGCCTTGATCTCCGGTGCATCCACTACCTTCGCCTTGAAGTCCACCCGCTTGAGTGACAAAGATCCCGCAAGCACCGAGTAAATCACTAGCGAAGAATAGCTGCAAAGTTCGTAGCTTGTGAAGGTAGATAGGCTGTCGAGGAGGAGAGGAGCGGCAAGGCTGTAAGAGCGAATAGTGAGCAAATGCAATCCCTTGTATGCCTTGAGACGGTTTCTACGGTCCCAGTCTCCACCACTCTCTACCAAGGTCTCTGCCCGTTCAATGGTCTTGTTCACAAACAAAAGGTCGCCGAAGAAGAGTCCGATGCGGAGCATAGCCATCACCAGATCAATCTTGGTGCCCAGGAATCCGGTCTTTTCGAGGAGAGCTTCGTGGGATTCGACGGCTTTGTCCTATTGGAAATACTGGTGTCAGCTAGAAGCTTGAGAAAAACAACATAGACGAATGATTCTCACCTTATCTCCCACACGAGCCCAGAACTCAGCCCGCTTCCCGCGCGCAGCTTGTACCTCAGTCTCCCCAGCAGCCTCTTCCGCCTCATCTTCCTCCTTCTGGAAGGTCTCCAGTTCCTTCTTGTTATCCTCCAGTAGAGACTGGTAGAGCTTCTCATCCCAAGGGAAATCAAAATTCAGCGGTGTTTTGCGAGATGCAAGAAGATTGGAAGTGATGAGAGGCTTCGTTGAGTTCCCTCCATTTTGTGGGTGCTGTGTTACGCCTTCGCCGGAGTTGTTCAAGATGCCTTCGGTGGGATGGGCTAGATGCCGGTAGAAGGGAGCCATCTTGTGCTCCAAGATAACCTCTTGGAGCTTCTTCAACGAGCTCTGTTGGACGGCTGGCGCGCATGCAGGGTTGGAGAGATTGAAGACATGTTGGGCGATGGAGAGGTTGGGGAACTTGATGTACTGCGGATCAGACCCCATGTTGACTATGGGGAACTGGTGGTGCTGACAGGACTGGTACGATTAAGAAAACGATGCAATAGAGCAGGGAGAAGATGGAAGCTGGTGATGTCTGGAGATGAGATCAAGCCAGGTGCATCACCGTAGCCCCGAGCTCAGCTGGCGGAATGTTTCTCCGTGCCGAGCCTTCTTTAGCCTTCTCCCTTCGAACGTCAAGATATCTCTGAGATGTCGGTCGCATCCAGGTTAAAAATATATTTGTTTCTTTGCTTCTTTGTAGAAAAGAAATATTTCTCCCTCTTTATCTTACTCTTGAAAGGTATATACATATATACATGTTTACAATATATCTGACTTGTCCTACTCTGGGTTATATAACTATATATATGTAGTGATCACATTGGATCTAGGTCGACACAACACACTCAAGATAATTCTAGGAATTCCATGTGTTGACTTGAGAAACATTATAAATCAATTGCAATGTCGTGTTGTATGTTGTATGTTGTATGTTACGGTTAAGACTAAATATAAGGCTGAATTGTTAACTTGATGGCTTTGGTTATAAAAGACCTATGTGTCAAACTTGCCGCTGTCTTAGGGAATTGGAGTCCTAGTCCGGTTACCCTTGATCCTTCGACTATTCCACAAACAGGCAGGTCCTGGCAGCCTCTAAGACAAATAGGGAAATACCGAAGCACGTGCGTATCTCATAGGGATATGCGCTCCCTCTTAACCGTCTGGACACATACCCTTTTGACATGTGGAACCGATTTCCATATTGGATTTGATCGGGAAGTCGCGTGTTCACTGTTGGCCGATTTCAACTCATCTTCATGGAACTTTCGGAGTGACCGAGTGTAAGAGACCACCTATGTTGTAGGTAAGAGTGCAACCTACCCCAACCGACACTTATCTGGATAGACACCATTGGTTGGATACTGGCCCTTGATATTTCTGATGTGTATATCATTGGCCCTATAGATGTATTCGGTGGGAATTCTGAAAGCTAAATGCTTAGAATAATCAAGCTTACGGCCGGGGTCCCACTAAGTTCCGATACTTGGCCAAACACAGTTTACCACTTCTCTATGCCCATGCGACTTAGAGTGATGCTATTCCCGGGATTTTCTTTTCTTTTTTTTCTTTTAAAAAAAAATCCAAAAAAAATATATAAATGAAAAATTGTCAACTGTTCCCCCCCATAGGTCTTATTTATCTTTCCTCTCTGCTTCATTTCTCTTTTTCCTTCTCTGTTTACACACCTCAAGCTGATCATCGCGACTCTTGTTGTGATCGCGTGACACAGTAAATCTCATTGGTCTCGTGCCAATTTTACTATCCTTTTGATCTCTAAGAGGCTCAATCTCACCGCGTAATTATTGTTCTCCCCAAACTCGATCGAAATGGCCGAAACTCAATCCTACGAGAAGGGCGCCGGTCCCCTCAAGGAGAACCCGGTCGAGCTACCGCCTCTCGAACAGACGACCAAGGGTCGCTGGGAACGTAGTTGGCCCACTATTGCCTGTGGTGCTGGCCTCTTTTCTGATGGCTACTTGAACCAGGTACGTTGTGTTTTGTCCTCGTGTGCGCAGCCCCGCAGCTACAATGTTCCACATAGGTGTGCAGCTTGGCGAATGTTTATTTAATCTTTACTAACAACCTTGGATCTAGGTCATTGGTCCTGTCGGTACAATGCTGACACAAATCTACGGAGATGCATACACCAAATCGACTGCCCAACAGAATGTCTCTTCGATTGTTTTTGCCGGCACTGTGGTCGGGATGTTGGTATTCGGATACACGAGTGATCACTGGTCCCGCAAGTGGTCTTTGATGATCTCCACTATTATCCTGTTCGTCTTTGCAGCTCTCGGTGCTGGATCCTACGGAGCTGGTGGCAGCTTGGGCGGTATGCTTGCTGCTTTGACAGCTTACCGTTTCTTCTTGGGAATTGGCATTGGTGGAGAATACCCTGCTGGGTCAGTTGGCGCCGCAGAGAATACCGGAGAGCTCAAGAGCGGTCATCGCAATCGCTGGTTTATCATGTTCACCAACTTCCAGATCGATTTCGGTTTCGTGGTGGCTGCTTTAGTGTCCATGATTCTGGTCTTGATCTTCACCGAGAAGCACCTCCACGCTTGCTGGCGTGTAGCTCTGGGCCTGGGAGTAATCCCCCTCTGAGTCTAGTGTACCTCCGACTGAAGATGGATGAGCCTGAGGAGTTCAACCGGGAGCGCATGCACAAGTTCCCGATCTGGCTGATTATCAAGTAAGTACGATATTCCCTGAATGCCTGGACTTGTTAACTAACGAATTTAGATTCTATTGGAAGCGCTTGGTAACAAACCCTGCTTACATCTTGCTTTTATAGGCTGAACCAACTAACTGACTGGGTGTGATTTATAGGCTGTTGTTTCTATCATCTGGTTCCTTTACGACTTCTCTGCCTACAGCTTCGGTATCTATTCTTCAGCCTGGCTCAAGATCATCCTAGGTGATACGGCTCCCTTGTGGAAGAGCTTTGGCTGGTCTACCGTGGTCAATTCTTTCTACATTCCAGGTTCTGCCCTTGGAGCCTTCATGAGTGACTGGATTGGCCCCCCGTTACACCCTTGCCATTGGTGTTGGACTCCAGGGCGTCATCGGGTTCATTATGGCCGGATGCTACAAGTGGCTTGCGACCCCAGAGAATGTGGCAGCCTTTGTTGTCGTATTCGGGTAAGTTCGCTGAATTCTTAGACTAGCAATTGCCAATGCTAATGTTTTGACAGAATCTTTTCTGCTCTCGGTGAAATGGGACCGGGCGATAACATTGGTCTCTGCGCTGCCAAGAGTAGCGCTACTGCTATCCGTGGCCAATACTACTCCTATGCTGCCGCTATCGGGAAGGTGGGAGCTTTCGTGGGCACCTATGTGATCCCAGTTGTCCAAAAGAACGCACCCAACCCGACCCGCGCAGGCCAGGACCCATTCTTTGTCTCCAGCTCACTGTGCATCTTGGCCGCATTCATGGCTATTTTCATGATGCCGGAGATTGGTCAGGTATGAGCTGCTGCAAATAGAGTACCTTGTACCATGTTTATGTGCTCACATTTTCTTAGGACACCATTACCCACGAAGATGCCAGGTTCCGCGACTACCTCGAGGCTAACGGCTACGATACCACACAGATGGGTACCCATAACTACCAGAGCGACACTCACGACCAAGAGTAATTTGATCACAGCCCTACTGCGCCAGACACATACTTGCTCACCCTTTTGGGCTGTTGTGTTCCAACCAACTTACTTAATCCCACGAACTTCATCCATACGCGGCAATGCACATTCAGTAAAACAAACAAGAAATACTATTCATGAGACAGCGACTACCCGGCCCTTGCGACTTGAGATGTCCCATCCCCTGCCATGCCCCTGCCCCTGCGACATGACCCATGAATGCATGAACGGATTGCGGGCATCTTCTACTTGATCTGCTGGTGATTAATTTGGCGGGATGGAAGCTGAACTCCTGACTTGTATTGACAGTCAATTTAATTAAAGTGGTGATTTTTATGTCGTCCACATACATAATTAGACAAATAAAATCTTGGAAATGGTCCTCGTACTTACGAAGGTCCAGACTCTAACCCTATAAAACAAATTGGAGCCATCTTGAGATTCTCGTGTCTTTGCACATACCCGTGAACATGCTTGGGATATCGCTGAATGCTGTCTGGCCTAGGACTGGTCTGCATTATATCACATCAAGGAGGTCTGCTGGGAGGATTATAAATACGGTCTTCGGCAGAGCACGTGAAAAGGAATTCATTTGCTTGGCCTAGGATGGGATCTGGAAACCCAGGAGTATATCTAGGTAGGGCTAAGAAGAGTGCTTGATTCAGTGTTGACGGTGTGCTCGGATGAAATTGGAACTAGAGTAACTCCGTGAATAAGGTCCGAAGGAACAATCTTCAGTAATACCGAGCATAAAAAGGGTATAAAATGAGATTATATAGAAGACACGCAGACTCACGTGAAAAACAGAGGACAGTGAAAGCCGAGTGGATAAAACAGTCGAAATCAAGCATTTCAACGGATTTCGAAGAATTTCACCAGAATAAGGCCTCAAATGTCATAAATACTTGTAATAAACGTAAATACCATTACATTGTAACCTCCGGATTTCTCCCCACACGCACGAGATCAGCCGAGGTCGGTCTTCCGGCTCCATACGCCGGTCAATTACCGACTCCCTTTTCCCTTGTGAACCATCACATTTGACTCTTGAAATCCTCCATCCTTAGGTGTCCGAAGTTGAATTTTCTTCATCTCCATTGACAACAGCCAAAAAAATGGTCGCTAACACACTCATCTACCACCCTGCGCTGGCGCACTGGCTGCGCTTCGTCGCGACAACCGGTACGTGACACATCCCCAGAGTCCAAAAAAGCAACGACCCGGCACCTCTATCCGTACACATACACATACAAAACTCCTATTTCACATCGCGACCACACCGCGACCACAACAAAACCCCCCAAAGCAAACCCCCTATGTGTTGGGAACTCGGCCGAGAAGCCCAGCGGAGCTCTACCCGAACACTCAAGCTAACTATCCACGCAACCCTATAGTCGGCCGCGATAAGCTCCTCCGCACAATCCAATACTTCTCCCGATTCTACGCGTGGTACCTATACCGGACGAACAAGCCGCAGTCGGCGATCGACCCGTACAATGCCGTGAAGAAGCAGTTCGGCACGACCCGCAAGATTATGCGTATCGGCAAATTCCTCGAGCATCTCAAGGCCGCCGCCATCGCTTTCGATAACAAGAGTCCCGTCGACCCCGTCCTGCGCTACCTGGCTATCGGTCGCCAGCTCGGTTATGCCGGATACCTGACTCTCGACGCTATCACAGTCATCGATGTCATCGGAATTCGGAAACTGTCTTCCGCTAAACGGCTGCAGGAGTCTGCTTACCGCTCCTGGGCTGCGGGTCTGATCTTCAGCACTGTGGCTGGTGTTTACACTCTTGTTCGTCTTCAGGAGAAGGAGAAGACTATTGACCGTAAGGAGGGTGAGGGTGTTGTTGAGGCTAAGAAGATTGAGAAGTATGGGTTCCCTGCTTATTACCCGAATGAGAGAAATGGATGGTATGCTGATATTTTTACTAGGGAGCGCTCTGCTGCTCGGATACAGCTCCTCTCTGATGTTTGTGATCTGGCTGCGCCTTTGACTGCTGTTGGTGTCCTTAACCTCGACGATGGCCTCGTCGGTATCACAGGTACCGTCAGCAGTTTGATCGGTGTTTGGTCCCAGTGGCGCAAGACCGCCGGACCTGTCTAAGCAGTGTATACTGTATACTTTGTCTACGAAGTGGGGGGTTGATGTCCCTCTTCTTGGGTGATTCTGGAGTCCTGGGTCCAGCTGCTGGCTCGGGAATGGGGAGGACGAGGAGGTATTATTATTGCGCACTCTATATCCTGATGGTTGTTTCTCTCGTCTGTGGACAGTCTTCTATCTTTTTTTTTCATTCGGAAACGCCCTCACGTCGTTTCTTTTGGTTACGTACATAACAATCGCACTTGGTTTCGAATAGATTTGTATTCATTCTCTTTCGTTGTCATCATATCATTGCTACCTATGGACATATAGGTATGCAAGTCCAGCCCTGGCCCATCCTCGTGCCATCTCCACTCCACAAAAGCAGTCCCAACTCCGATACCCTTCACCAAAACACTCGAGGGGTGCTTTAAACGGGGCAGGTCTAGGATGGTTAGTATAAGCTCACACAAAAGTACTGTAGAATCAACATACAGCACCACAGGCGCCACAGCTCTTGCCAGCGCCGTCAGCGGCGGCACCACACTTGGGGCAGGCAGCGTGTCCGTTCATTGTTGATGATAAGATGAAGTAGATCTGATATAACTAACGTTAGTAACCACCAAGGTCCTCATAAGATACAAAACAAGACACAACCCTTTCATACCTTGTTTTGATCTAAGTAATTTAAGAAATGATTATTCGGAGATGTGGGAGAAATGAAGTAAACCTCGTTGGGCGAGAAAATTGCTGACTTTTCTACCCCGCCTGACTGGTGCCCCGCTCACGGCCATTTTATTGCAGCACATGATTTGATAGCCTTCCAGTGTCAAGTGTTATACGCTTATAACTATGTATAGATAGGTTAACGCGACAAAGGAAATCCTGAAGAATGGCTTAGTTTCACATGGGTGTGTTTTCCATAGCTCTAAGAATCTATGTTGTAGATTCCGAATCCGACGGAAAAGATTATATAGATTATTTTCTCCGTCATGCTCTGCTTATTGATATCTATAAGTCGTTGTGAATCTGATTCACTTATCTACAACTATCTATGGATAATAGGAGGGGCTACTGGTCATCTGACTGGCCCAAACCGAAGGTACATTTAGTACCTACCTAGGTAGGTATGCATCCAATCCATCCCACCAGTCATCGCAGTGTGAGCTCCAGTTTCGTGGACTAGAGTCCACTATCGTTACTCGTCAGCAGAAAACACGCCAATACTGACTGACCGGTTCTATCTGTCAAAGAGCTCACTCATATACTCCGTCATCATGTCCACATCATCACCATCACCATCCCCTTACCAGCCTCTTGTCCGGGATGGCCATGCCCGCGAACCCAATAGGCAGCCTTCAATGTTCATATTTTCAACGGTGCCCGTGGTCGATGAGAACACTATCATCCTCGGGGCCACACACCCTACCCTCTCCACCGCCGACCCGCAAGAGGATGGCTGGTTCATTTCGGATTTTTACGCTTTCAATTATTTGTTCAAAGGACTCGGCATGCAGCAAACCTGGCTGACAGCTGTGGAACCCGCCAGGCTCGTCGAGAAGTACGGGCCGTTCCTACTTGGAAACCCCTATGAGGAACGAAAGATATGTCTGAGCCAAGAGCTCTTGGACAGCGATGAACTCTCACCTGTGACTGTGGTTAGCCCGGAAAGAACGATTGACCGATTTCTGATAGAAGCGAAAAAGGCTTCTGAGCTGGCCAAGAGAACCTCAGTCCCCCTTCTCCTTCTTACTTTCTGTCACGGACTCCCAAACTTTCGTTATCTTTTAAACAACGCGGATAAGCAGAGGGGTCTGGGCATGGCGAGACTCAAAGATGTGCTTGAGCTCGGTGTACGTGTTACGCTCGTTACTACGGCATGTCACTCTGGTGGCTGGGCCACAAGCCCGGATTTCAACCACACCACCATGGCAGCTTCCGACGAGACTACGACGAAACACGGAACATCGAACGCGTGGGGAGTGTGTCAGAGTATTGGCCGCGGTTGCGGCTCCGTTTTCGCTAATTCAGTTCAGATTCAATTCAGATTCAATTCAGATTCAATTCAGATTCAATTCAGATTCAATTCAGATTCAATTCAGATTCAATTACAATTCAGATCACTTTAAAAATCCCTATAATATCTTACAGACTACGTCGTCGGCTTAATTGGCCTTCCTACACCTAGTAAAAGGATCTGTATCCTCTGGGATGAATCTGCCTGGGAAGCCGCCCTCACAGAGACCGATCCCACTTGGAAGCAGCGATATAAGATAATTACGCGTGCCCTTGGCGACTTCCCCATTCTCCTCCCCAATGATAAACAAGGCCCGCCGTTCTTCCGACCCAATTGTTACCTAGTAGCCGCTCTCGTCGAGGCTAACAAGCCTGACGATGAGACCATGGCTATTATCTCTGCCATAGAGCCTGTCCTGGAAACACTGAAAGATTTCCACGAACAGCGTGCTTGTCAAGACGAGCGTGTGCCGTGGCCGTGACCGTGGCCACGGCCGAGAGTGGCTGAAGACTATTGGCAGACGAGCCCTACAGTCGCTTGTGCCTCGTAAGGGCCTGCTAGCAGAACCCTATGACTGACAGAGCACAGGGTGATACAGAAAAGTGGCGGTGCATTTCGTCTCGTTTGCCTTGATGACCCATGTCTTTCTTTTTCTTGCTTCTTGCTTCTCTTGTTTGTCCCTTTTGCTTTTTATCAAAAAAGAGGGAAAAGGGAATATCCTTGACTTCAGAGCTGAGAATACAGCGAATAATAATAAATAATGGCTCATTGAATCCACCTCCAGTACTCAATACCAGCAGCAGATCTGAGGTTACTAAAGGTTGTCTTACCGAAACTTTAGTCTTAGCCTTTGTGGCCTGAGATTCATAGTTATATCATATGTGCACATGTACACATCTTCGACATACACTGATCTTGGGGGCCATGGGAGCCCGTGGAATGTAGCAGCCATAGAGGAGCCCGCGTGGATAGGTTAATATTATTATTATACTAATCTAGTATTTGTGCTATGTGCCTTCGGAGCTCCAAAATTATCTCAATCCATCTTCCACATCGTTTTCAACTGGTTAACAGCATCCCCATACATCCTCTCACGCACCTGATTCCCCCTCCAAAAAGAGGGCTTTTTATCAAATCCATGAGCAACATCCTCAACCACAAACCCGCCTACACTCATCATCTTCCCTTCTTCAACAAAGCCCCTGAGCCTTTCCCGGAACGAATTCCCCTCAACAAGCAACTGATCCCACCCACAAGTATAAATCGCCACAGCAGGCGGATAGCTCACATACAAAAGAGACGCAGGCGCCAAACCAGGCGAAAGATAAGGATGCGACATATCCGTCCGACCGGTACCCTGCCCTTTCGGCAGACTCGCAGGGAAAAGATACGAATCGTCGAACAACTCGTACATCGAATGGGATATCATAGTTTTTTGCGCGGCGATAGGATTCGTAGCATCCCGCTCTTTCCGCGTCCGCGTCCAGTCCGTACTAGGATAGAAAACCACCAAGCCAGCCAACGTTATCTCCGCGCGCATCGACGCCCAGCGCTTTTTCTGTAATTCCTCGTGTAGCCGGAACGGCACGGCTAGAGTGAGATTCCCGCCTGCGCTGCATCCGCTGAGTGCGAAGCGCGTCTTGTCGAGATTGTACTTCGGCGCTTCTTGCCATAGCCATAGGATGGCGTCGACGCCGTCCTCCAGCGCCACGGGGAAGGGTTGCTCCGGCGCTAGTCGGTAATTGACACTTACCACTACCGCATCCGGGTGGGCTTTTAACACGGTACCGGCCCAGCGGGCATCATCGCGGGCGTGGCCGATTGAGAAGCCGCCGCCGTGGAAGTTTATGAGGACGGGACGGGGCGGGATGGGGCTGGTTTGCTTGCGAGGACAGAGGGGTTTTGAGGGTGTAGTGAAGAAGTAGAGTTGGATTAGTCCTGGAGATTTACTGACTGTTGAGGGAATGGCGATTTCGACGCTTGGTCTTGGAGGCAGTGGCCAGGAGAGGTAGCGGTCTAGTAGGGAGAGTAGGCTTGATAGCATGCGGTATCGGTGGGCCTTGTTGCTGAGGGCGGAGCGGGATGGAAGGGGTGGATTGGATGTCATATTTTACTGGGGTGGACGCTCTTTCTTTTGTATAATGGCCGAAAAATTGTTGATATGTGGTGCTTATGTGGACGCATGAGATGAGTTGCTAGTCACTGGACCTGAATGCAGGTACCCGATGATCCCTGTCAGATATCACCTAACTGGTAAAGGGGGACTTGTGTAGGCATGATTTGAATGTTGTCAAAAGGAAATTGTCGCAGTAAATTGTTAATATCCCCAATGGTGATTGATGTATGACGTCTAGACAGATTGCCTGCTCCTGTGGACATGTGGAACAAAACATATAACTAACATATGTACTACATGGGTAGTCACCTTGAAAGTTATGAATATCAGGCATCTATAAATCGGAGAGTCCCAGGTTAATATAACATGTATGCTGCTAGTCCCAAAACTGACACTGTGGGGGGCTGTATAGTCTCCACTCCCGAGCCGCATGTAGTAGGTCGGACTCCGAACTTCGAGATAAATACAGGGAATGCCTGTCCGTTTTGTAGGTTCCCCAATTCGAACATCCATCACATAAAAAGCGACATACAGATTATTTAACCCATACTTCATATCTCCACAATGTCCTCCCCTCTCCCAATCGGCATCTGTGCCCTAGACTCCGGGATCGGCAAGCCGGTGTCCAAGCTCCTCCTCCCCGAATATGAAGGTTAGTAGAGCATATTATTCTTTATTTGGATATAACCCAGGTTGTCTCAGAATAGGCTTGCTAATACTCCATAGTAACCCATTTCATCCAAAGCCTCTCAGCAGCACAATCCGAAATTCCCCATCTTCTCGCAGGCCGGGATCCCCAATCCCCCCACGTCAACGACGTCGGCACAAAAGACTACAGTCGGCCTGTGCGTGCCATAATCTTCGGTCGTGGATTTGAATTGGAGGACATTGAGGCATTGCGTGATACTGTCGCTGGTATTTCGCAATATCCAGTTTTGTGGATCGCTGGTGATCCAAGTCGCAAGCCTCCTCCTGGTGCTGTTCTCCCGCCTAACTACCACCAACTTGTTGCGGGAGTCGCAAGAAAATTGCTTGGTGGGTGGGTTGAGGCTGGAGCTACTAGTAACAAGATTGTTTTGTACTAGAGTATTTGACTCTTTTTTATTTAAGTTTGATGTTTGGGATTCAATATATTTATGCACAAAACTGGTGTACTTTGTGAACGAAACTATTAGGGTTTATCCATAAATCACATCCTGGCTGATATGAGTTCTATACGGATCAGATAAACTCTCAATGGTTATCTGAAGGAGGTGATTTCATCACCCCAGTTTGTCATCGGCAAGTTCACAAACAACGGTGACATACATTCTTTTTATACCCTAACATGTTCACTAATGCTTTGTGCATAATAGTCATACATAGGATTGTGAAGGATGGCCGCAGAATGCTACCTACTTCGCAGCTGCCCATGGAATTAAGTATAAATACACAGGAATAGCACCATATTCGCAAAGAGTACACTTTCTGAGAGAAACAATGGCGGCTTTCCCACGACAGGGCCGATGTAGGACCAATCAAAGTTAGTGAGGGGAGAATCCCATGAACCCGTGGGATCTACCTAGCTACACATTTCATTCCTCAAGGCGATACGGAAAAGAGCTTGAGTGATTGTGGATGAGAAACGACTTAAATGTCCATGAGAATATTACATCAATTAGTGAGAAACTTGACACCTTGGCATTTTCTGCGCGGTTGGAGACAATCGGTCTGAGTGGTCTATCGGACAACTCAGTCGACAGCCTTCGTGGTCTAGTTTGGTCATGACGTCGGTCTCATATCCTTTAAATATGACATTCTTGGTAACAAGATTGACATCCGAAGGTCTCCAGTTCGATCCTGGACGAGGGCATTCTTTTTTTGTGCTACATGGATGTTTTTGCTAGATATGTACTACAATAATAACAATAAATGAATAAATAACTACTTGGTGGTCGCATTTGATAGCACATTGTCAAATCTGCAGTGATCCTTGCCTAGGTAGGTACCTTCCTAATTCACCATTGCCGACAGATTCAACTTTGGAAAAACACACTAGACGTGGCATCTCAAGGTAGGCCGAATTGCAATTCCAAAAACCTAAACTACATCATCCTTTAGATGTAAATAGGTCACGTACTAATCCTCTATGCCTTTTCACTGGTAGCTCATTAAAGTATACCCCGCATCCGCAGTTCGAGCTAGGATGAGACCACGCGACAATTTCCCCAGATAAAAGCCAAGACGCTAAAGAAGTGCGCAAATGTATAAAGGCCGGAGTAATACTGCCCAATACGACAAGTCATGGGATCAGGAATGAGATTAGGTATTATGATTTATTAGGTTTGTCTCATATTGTAGTTTGAACTCACTTTTGTACTCTGCAAAATGAAGTAATAATATCAACACTGACGTGTAGCCGGCTAGGGTCAGGTTCGGGGAAAATAGGAGAACAAGTCAACCTCTGTGCCCCTTCAAATTGGCCCAGGCCATTTTCAAACAGCCGGCGCTGGTTGGGCAGATATTTTAGATAGGTACACTCGAATGAAAGACAAGAATCCTATCACAACGGGTGAAATAGGAAGCTAAGTTTCAGAAATGATTGGCTGTGATTGATATCAAGGACCGAGAATTTACTAGTTACATGCTAGTAATGTTGGTAAATGTTAGTCCGGATAATGGACATGAAAGAAGAAAATGTGACGGGTGTGGACGAAAAAGGACAAAGCGAAGTTACCGGAATGCGTGAATATGTTGTAGATTCATTGAAGATCACGGTTATGTCTATACTTATTCCGTGTTGTGGAGGAGACAGGGGGAAACCCCCTTTTCTCCACCAGCCCTTACTCCTTTGAGGTGAATAAAAAAGCCTCAAATTCGTTGACATACTTCCTGGTATTTGTGTCACACGCAAGGAAAATAAAAATAAAAAAGAATGATCAGCAGGGTTTAAAAAAAGAGAAGTCACTATGTTGTACGTAAGTTGAAACAAATCGCGCAAAATAACTAATTGTTTCACGAAGAATGGTCCCTAGTGGGATTTGACCAAAGAAACAGACAGAAAAAATAAAAAGGAAAAAGGAAAAAAGGAAAAATTCACGATCCCGAGGCCCGTAGCCGGTTCGGGATCCGCCGCTAACGGGGAGAAGGATCTGGGGTTGACTTTGTATCGCACAAGCCACACCTGAACATCCCGAGAGACGGTGACGGTGACCGATAGAAACTCATACAATCATGGCAGGTCATGGCAGACTATGACAGACCACTCATGTGCGATATTATTACAACAGTTGTAAGAGTCATTCTTCCAAGTCTATGGGTCTAGGCCATACTTTTCGGCGTTGGGACGTAATATGCATGGGTTTTCTTCCATTAGGGCTTGGATTTGGAGTATGGAGACCCAGGTACTACAACATAACTCGGAGCCTGGCGTTGATCTTATTGCACAACCACAACGAGCGATTATCGCCGCTCAGTCAAAGCCAGTAAAAAAAGGGCCTAGGACCCAGCGGCAATATCTTCTGCCCAGACCATCCAAGGAGGTGGAAATATATGGATTCTGATTGGTCCCCGCCGCCGCGATCGATGGATGCATGTGCATCATCCTCGGTTGGTTAAACGCCGTTCTCCCAGACATTTTGTTCCGATATTTGCAGCCGAGCCCTGTCGTCATTCGGGTTCAAAGGGAGATATATCATATTTTTGGTCTTTCCCACAGGCAACAAGAGAACACATTCCGATATTTGCTCGGGTTGATGCAAGCCGAAAACAGAACAAGAGAGATCTGAAGTGAAGGGGGTCAAGGTTGATCGACAAGATTATGTCAGCTCCCCACGATTTTTGCCCTATGACTAGTATAGGAATTATATCAACGTAGTGAAGTCATTGCGCGTCATTCCTGTCGTCCGGTGGATGAAATCTTGGATTTTCAGACAAATAAAAACTCATTTTCATTAAGGTATAAGCCTAATTTGTAGATGATTGACGAATATTATAGAAAATTGTAAAAAGTTAAGGTAAGAGTGTTTGCCGCATCCGTCAGTGCAAAAGCATAAGCATAAAAGCAACACATGAACTGGACTTGTCAACTTCTCCTTGTAAACCACATGAGTGATTTTTAATTCTAGAACTCATCACCTTCCCGGTCATTGATCCCCCCTAGTTCCGAATCAAGTTCGTGCCCATTTAAACCCATTCGGGTCAAGTCGGACTGCGCCTCCAGGTATTTGCAACCCACAGTGCTTCATCCCATCACCAACCGCGTGTCCGCTTCAGCTCGGCGTTCAGCCCCGACATCACCCGTGGAACTGTGGAGAAACACTACCGAAAGTGCACGAGAACCACCTCCATACCAAGACCGATCGTGACTATGGCCTCTGCTGGAAAAGATTATATACCCCTCGGCCGCTCCAGTTCTCCTGGTCCTCTGGCTTCAGATTTCTCCCAACAACAAATTGCGAAACAACGCAACAATAACTACCACTCTACTTCACTCAGAAAAATGGTTGCCACATCTGTTAATCGTACTGCCCTGCACCCCGGTGGTGTTCAGTATGTTGCCTTCCTACCCTCACTGTCCTTTACCTTCTTGTTGCTAACCCGTCTTTACTTAGGCCTGGTAAGGGTCACACCGAGCTTGAGGAGGAGCTTCACGAGACTGCTCACATTGACTACGACCGAGTCTCTATTGTAAGACCCCTCGCTACCCTTACACTTGACATTTTGATTATGTCTTATGTCACTTGTCTTATCTTATTCTCATTGACTAACAAATATCTTAGATTGCCAACCCCTCTGTTCCTGCCCTTTACGAAGATGCTCTTGTCTACGAGACTGGTACCGCTGTCACATCCAGCGGTGCTTTGAGTGCATACTCTGGTGCTAAGACTGGCCGTTCCCCCTCCGACAAGCGTATCGTCCAAGAAGCTTCCTCAGAAGGCGATGTCTGGTGGGGACCCGTAAATAAGCCCATGACACTTGATGTAAGTTTTGATGCGCGATTTTACTGAATATTTTTCATTTTGTCGATTGTTGGAGCATATACCCTTGCAGATGGGCCCGATGAGAGAGATCCACTTGGAATCCCTTGCATATGCATCGGGAGCATCGGGAGGGTCAAGCTTTTCAGAATGACTTTCGTGCAACCCATTGGAATGCCGTCTCTGCCGAAATAATACCTCATTCCCTCTCCTTCCCTCTCCTGTCTTGGGAATATTTCCTTTTGCCCGTTTCTTTGCCCCCAATATTGCCCCCAATATTGCCCCCTCCAATGTGGCCCTTGGCATCCCCTCGGCATTCACCTGCGGCTCCACGATCCCCCGCCTTTGGCCCGAGGCACGTGCATGACGTCAATAAGGCTGGTGACTAACATTTCTTTTTCCCCACAGGTCTGGCGTATCAACCGTGAGCGTGCTGTCGACTACCTCAACACCCGTAACCGCATCTACGTCGTCGATGGTTACGCCGGCTGGGATGAGCGCTACCGCATCAGCGTTCGCGTTGTCTGCGCTCGTGCCTACCATGCTCTCTTCATGCGTAACATGCTGATCCGCCCCAAGCGTGAGGAACTCGATCACTTCCACCCCGACTATGTCATCTACAACGCTGGTTCTTTCCCTGCCAACCGCTTCACTGAGGGTATGACCTCCGCCACCTCCGTGGCTATCAACTTCGCCGACAAGGAGATGGTTATCCTTGGTACCGAGTACGCTGGTGAGATGAAGAAGGGTGTCTTCACCGTTCTCTACTACGAGATGCCCGTCAAGCACAACGTCCTGACTCTTCACTCCTCTGCCAACGAGGGTGAGAACGGTGATGTTACCGTCTTCTTCGGTCTGTCCGGTACTGGCAAGACCACCTTGTCCGCTGACCCCAAGCGCAAGCTGATTGGTGACGATGAGCACTGCTGGACCGACACCGGTGTCTTCAACATTGAGGGTGGCTGCTACGCCAAGTGCATTGGTCTCTCCGCCGAGAAGGAGCCCGATATCTTCAACGCCATCCGCTTCGGCTCCGTCCTCGAGAACACTGTTTTCGACCCCATCTCCCGTGTTGTTGACTACGACGATGCCACCCTTACCGAGAACACCCGTTGCGCCTACCCCATTGAGTACATTGAGAACGCTAAGATTCCCTGCGTGACCGACAACCACCCCACCAACATCATCCTGCTCACCTGTGATGCCCGCGGTGTACTGCCCCCTATCTCCAAGCTCACCCCGGAGCAGACCATGTTCCACTTCATCTCTGGTTACACCTCCAAGATGGCCGGTACTGAGGACGGTGTCACCGAGCCCCAGGCTACCTTCTCGTCTTGCTTCGCTCAGCCCTTCCTGGCTCTTCACCCCATGCGCTACGCCCACATGTTGGCCGAGAAGATCAAGCAGCACAAGGTCAACGCCTGGCTCCTGAACACCGGCTGGGTTGGCGCCGGTGCCACCACTGGCGGCAAGCGTTGCCCTCTCAAGTACACCCGTGCCATCCTGGACTCCATCCACAACGGCGAGCTCGCCAACGCCGAGTACGAGACCTACGCTACCTTCAACCTGCCCGTCCCCACCTCTTGCCCCGGTGTCCCTAGCGAGCTTCTCAACCCCGAGAAGAGCTGGACCGCCTCCACTTCCTTCAAGGACGAGGTCACCAAGCTTGCTGTCCTCTTCAACGAGAACTTCAAGAAGTACTCTGACGAGGCTACTCCCGAAGTCCTCGCCGCTGCTCCCCAAGTTTAGAGGGTTTCGAGCGATGGTTAAAAAAATTTCTTTTTCTCCTTGTTTCTTGTTCTCCCAAACAGGATGAATAAGTCATTTGCATGGCGTGCTGCTTTTTCTTTTTTTGGTGATGATCTTCCGATCCTCTCGCCGACGTCTGCCGCTTGTATCGGGACAAGCGATGGATATGCTTTGATCTCCCCCCGATATGGGTTTTTCTTTTGCCCTCTATTTTGAGTGGCTGAATGGAGTTATGTAGTGGTATTAACGACGCAATTATTTTCTTATGTGATAGTCAATGCAATATGTTTAAGACTGAAGTCAACTACTTTCCTTTTTGTAATTGTATGACAATTTATCCAAAACATACATAGTTACTGATGTCTTATTCAAAGGGTGGACTTGGTCCACCCACGAGACCTCCATCGCCTAGTCATCGATCATCACGTAACCTCCATATCGTAGCAGAAGATTAAATTCCACCTTCGCTGAAGACACTCAGAAGTTCGAACCCGTACTGCGAAGGACGGAACATCGAACCAGTACTCGCCAGGAGGCCCCCAGACCCGATTATCGTTTTGCGGGTAGTATGTATGGATGTATGTACGGATGTATATATCTGGGGAGTGGGCGCGGCGGCATCGATTATGTGTGAATTCAGCAAGCCATTGAATCCCTTTCTCAAAAGCCTCCATATACATCCGAGAAGGGCGTTTGGATGATCGAAAATGCCACACGACTCACGAGGGATTGAGTGTTTCTGACTAAACACTGTGTCTATACCAATCGAAAGTGAATCCAATTTGCTCAGGCTCGCCCGAACAAAGCGCATGAAGAAGTCCACGTTTCTCCAGATCCTGACAGAATTCCCTTTTCGAAATAAATTCCTCTTCTAAGCAGCTTTCATCAACACCATCACGATCGTCACCGCTGTCTCGCTCGGCGATTGTTGTCTCACGCTGGACACTGTGTAATAACGACCTGCACCATACTCCAAGGTCATAAAATATCCAATGAGTTATGCGGCGTAGGGCCATACGCCATCGTTTGGATATTGTTTCGACGAGAGTTTCCACTTCACTGCTTTCCTTCTTTCTGCTTTCCATTGCATCGGTTGTTTCGGTCAAAAATGATTTCGTGTGCGTGGCTAATTCTGATACCGTGGCGTATTTATTATGCCAACATTTATCGATGATATTGTCAATCGAAGGATTGCCGTCCAATGTCGGAAACTCCATGTTTTGTAGTAATTCCACGACCTTGGGACCATGCTCGTAAGGATCCTCGTCAAGACAGCGGTCTCCATAGACCTCAAAGCCGTAGTTCATCAAATAATACAAGGAACCGAGGGCGAACTGTTCTGTTCGAGGGCCGAGAAAGCCAGGAGTTCCGCATTCTCCTTGGTCTGACTCCTTAGTATTAAGTAACCTGCCATACGGAGCCATACAGGCTTCGTAATTTGTTCCGATTGTCGCCGTACAATCAAAATCAGAAAGCTTTAGTCGGTTGCGGTCAAGTAGGACATTTTCAGGTCGTAGATCACCATGAGCGAGGTTGAGGGATTCTAAGAAGGCGACAGCTTGAGCGAGATCGTTCATCCATTCTTTTCGTAGAAGTAGAGGTTCCAACTTGTCAACTTTAGTGACTACCATTGTTTGCCGGTCCCGAATATGATTGTTTTGTATCCTAGAAGAAAGGGACTTGTCTAAGAGGGGAATTAGTAGATAATATTTTAACTGCTAGTTAGTTAGGATCGTACCTCTCATATACTCTAGGAAGATGCCACTGCCGGAAAAGAGAAAACACTGCACAATAGAAGAACACGGTGGATTTCGCGAGAATATTTGATATATCTCAAGCTCTTTCTGAAATTGTTCGCTCTCGAATTTCCCAGACTTCGGGACTTTGACAACAATGCGAGGGTGGACCTCGTAAACGAAGGATATGCCTCCGCCCCAGATCCAGTGGACATCAGGAAACTGGCGTGGGATATCCATTGTTGAAATGTATGACGCGGGATGAAGAAGTGATATATTGACGAGAAGGGATTGAAGCAACTTTTCTGGATTTAGAGGGAAGAGAGGAAGGGGTATGAGGATAGTACAAAAGTACCTAAAAGGGGCACAGTGACATAATCAACAGTTAGGTGCTCAATTGTCTCAATAATGATTTCGTTAAATCTTTGACCCCGGATCAGAGATACTCTTCCACTATTCAGATCGGTTTCTGGAGTTATAACCTTCTAGAACAGTGCTTTCTGTTATAATAAGCATACTGGCGAGCAAAGAAACGGCTTTCTTGACTGAGGCAAGCCAAAGACACTCCGCAAATAACCCTGAAAATCGTTTACTGACTTCTTGAAGCTCTTATATAAAATGTCTTCTCCAGGCTAGCTAGCTATCTTCTTAACTGTCGTCTTCCAGTGACGGACAGACCTTTCTAACCAGTAATTCGACCAATATGTGCATAGGAGAATTTATATTTTGAGGGTGGAGGATTGCATAGAACAAAGCATCACGAAAAAGAAAAAGGAAGTATTTCCTTCTGCAAACAAAGGACCTGCCTTACAAAGCGACAATCTCGCATATGGATCGGGATAGATGTATATGGATGTCTCCATATTCATCCAATTGATGCATGAATGGCGTTAATTCAGCGCCAGCTTCGCCATCCACCATGCTTTGTCATGGCCAGACAATTGAATAGCATCACTCAGGCCTTGAAGCACAGCATCATTCTGGAAAAATGACAAAATAATAGGCTCTTTAGAGCTAAGATGCTCCGTCAGTTCCACGGCATCAATTTTAGTCTTGTTCACATGTTGAATGATTATCAATCCTGCCTCGCTGGGAGACGTTGCTCCGAGATTAGATCCCTGCGAAGCTCATCCAGAAGACAATACATTCGTGACCATTCTCCTCCTTTAAGTGCACGATAGAATGGCTGGTATTTTTCACCCAAGACTGTTCTCATCGAAAACATCCGTTTCATCCACATCCACATATTCCAGAATATAAGAGAGCATCGCCATCCAGTAATTTGCAGATCTGGTGCCGTGATCACGACAAAGTAACAGAATCAAGCTCTCGCAATATTGAACAGGATGTGGGACTTGCACAGAGTCGCACTCGGGGGCGAAGCGCCCTCGACCACGGCCGAGGACTGCTGATGGGAGTCTAGGGTCCGAAGCACTGATGAGGTCGGACCAGGATAGCTCCCATAGCACGTCGGACTTACAGTATATCGATATCACAAGCTCGTCGTCAATATGCAGATGCGCGGCAAGAGGCAGGCGTTAGTATGCGGTTAAAAAGGGACAGCATGAGCCCTTTACACAGGCAGAAAAACCGGCTTTTTGAAGAGAGGATGAGGCAGTTGCCGTCAAGTCATCGGCTACAACGAAGGCCACACCCTGGTAGTACGTGAGCTATCTTTCCTGCCTAGAATGGAGGGCGAAGATAGACGTCAACGATGGCGGGGATCCCGTAGATAGTCAGTAAATAGTTGCCCCAGAGAATATTTGGTACGCCAGCGGAGATGAGCATCCCCGAGACCGTTGCAACGAGCTTGTCGTCCAGCGATTGGGATTGAATGCGGATATCAGACATGTTGAAATCTGTTTAGGTAACAAAACAGCATGGCGCGGGTTTGGGTTTGAGTAGGGAAACAAAGGAAATGGGAAGGTAATTGGAGGCGGTTGTCTACACCGTCTTTATGTACGCCTAAGGCATGAACATACTTTGTATGCCAAGAGGTTAGAAGTCAAGGCTTAGTAGAGGTACCTTGAACTTGTGGATAGAACAAACCATTACTACCGCTCCTACAACCCGTTCCCGGCTCCTCAATGCGATACCCTCTGTCTAGGGAATCCATACATAAGAATCGTTCCCGAACTCCCCTGCCGGTAGGGCCCGTGGGTCTAAATTGAGGCTTGAGGCCGGTGGAGTCCCCCGACTTGCCGAGAACCCTTTCCGCGGAGGGAAGTGGGAGTGGTGATGCGCTTTGAGTTTGGTTGGCACATTCCGCGTGGGAACTCTCCAGGGTCGAGCTAGGCGCGGAGTGGATTCCGCAGATAATATTTTGGAGTGCATTCGGCACTTAGACTTTCACGATTGGTTGGTTTGGAGTAGTAATAGCGTAGGTTGATGTTGTTTACTAGAAATTGACGGTTTTGTTAGACGGTCCCGAGACTAATGTGAGTTATTTTTTGTCGGAGGATGGTGCAGAGAGCTGAATGTATTCGTGGGCATCGAAGAGGTCCGTGGCTATGCGGGTGAGTTGTTTAGTTGGGCATTTTGTCTTGTACTTTGAAGTCCCGGACTTGGATTACCTAGGGGCCTCGGACTTTGACAGAGAGTATAATGACTCGAACATGGGCCTGGCGGGTCGTACACTACTATGAAGCGGTGATATCCGATGCTGGATCGTGGTCGGGCATTCACTGTCCATAGCTTAGTTTCACGTCGCTTTGGTGACTTTCCCACCAGGCCAATTCGAACACTAGTCCATCAAAACAAGTTCCCGTTTTTTCCCCGTCCCATGTTCAGGACAAATAATCAAAGGTCACCGTCCCCGGACAAACAAATTACGATATTTTCCGGAGAACACTCCTCCGCTGCCTTACCGACACGCCCGGTCCTCTCGAAACGATGTTCGACGTTGACAACTTATATCCGTAATCGTCACAAACGACCAATACCATGGAGTAGACGCAGCACCAGATACAGGGTGAGAATCCACCTTAGAAGCTTCCAAGATTACCTGACATAATTATTGCCGGTCATCGGCGGAAAGGAGCCAGAAGCAAGCCCAAACCGGAGGAATCCATACAGCCTCGCCGTCTCAACTCAACAATAGTAGCGCGAGCCGCAGCCCCACTCCAGGAAAGGGGGATAATTTAGAATCTCAAGAGATGAGATTGGTCGGCGACCAGGGGCTGGTGTAAGGACGGGCCCACCACAGCATCGGCGGAATGATGCTCGGCCGATTGGACTGCCGTCCGAGGAAGTTCGGATCGTTGGCCCGAGGGAAACGGCAGAGAATTACTGAGGTGGAATAGCCGATTAGATTTGTTCGCCCCGCTGATATACTAGTCCAGGTTATTGGATTCTAGGCACTGGGACAAAGCCCAACAATTAGATCATCGTCCGATATACGGCTAATCCGTGCGTTTGTAGTTGATACCCAACGTAGAATTGATCCCGTTGGGATTTTGTGCTGGGAATAGCTCCAGGCATGTGTTCTTGAACAGGGTATATATCCATGGAACATCCATGGCAGTAAGTGTAGATGGTAATTGGTCTCCGAGATATGGCCGGAGAAGGTGTATCAATGGTGTCGGGTATATCAGTAGGAGACCGGGATCCCGATAAGTTATCGTGGGGAATCCCAAAGGGGTTTAGTGTGGGTGGAGATTCCGAATTTAGCTCGTGGCACTAATATACTCCCTAGGTATCTGTTGTGTTGATCCAGTTGGAAAGAGCTCAAAGGGAATGTCAGTCTGTGATCTGTTCTATATTAAACAGTATTAGACACAGTCCTGGGATATCTAGTAACTCTTCTGACCTGGTTATGTGCATGTTGTAAAAAAAAAAAAAAAAGCAAGGTTGTGGAAGGCAGGATCGTCAAGCTATCCCCCCGCATTTTGACAAGCTCCATAGCGTGCAGACATGTCGACGTTCGTGCATTGATAATCGAAATGAGGTAGATATTATTGGCCCAACACTTGAATCTTGGTGGAGAGGCCTGGTTCTAGCGACTTTCGCTCTATAAGTGAAGTGCCAGGCATTATTCCCGTCTCCATATTGTCACCTCCATATACCCTGGGCGGGGAACCTACGGGTAGTCATCGGTTGACAGTCGGTTGAAGGGGGATAATCTCCGGTTCGGAATGAGTTCACGGTTGTGTAGATTATTTGAGATTCATTATATTCATTATATTTAGACAAGCTCAGGCCCCGATTGTCCCCGGTTTGACCCTTCTGTATAGTTGTACCAGAAGTACTACCAGAGTACTACCAGAGTACTTGACTCTACACGACATCACACCCCGCACCTTCTCTGTCTGGTGACTTTTCTTGTGTCTCCCCTCATATTCTCTCTCTCTCTCTCTTTCTCTGTTCTATATTCTGTTCTCTGTTCTTCTTCCAACTGTACTGTTGCCACCTGTTGACACCTGAACCTTTTATATCAAACTACGTCATCGGTAAGTACCATGGTCCAAAAACCCCGTGGACAGTCCCCGTGGCTTCTAAATCCACCAAAGAGATCCTGCTAACCTTCCGAAAAGCTTTTCTGTCTGTTAGTGCATCTCCCTGTACTCTTGACATTCCACTCCTATATATGGTGCAATATATTGACCCGCATCGAGGATCTTAATATTTCACTATGACATCCACTATCAAGGACAGTGCCAGCACTGCTGCTGTCTCTGCCCAAACCGCAACCAAGACCGCCATTGAGAATCCTCCTGACTTCCTGCACCACCCGTACACCCGCCATGCCCTGCCCTTCATCAACGGCGGACTGGCCGGTATGACCGCAACCGCTGTGATCCAACCCGTCGACATGGTTAAGGTGCGTCTGCAACTCGCGGGCGAAGGAGCCCGCACCGGTCCTCGCCCATCCGCCCTCGGCATCACCCGTGATATCATCGCTTCCGGCAAAGTCCTCGATCTCTACACCGGTCTCTCCGCAGGTATCCTCCGCCAAGCCGTCTACACTACCGCACGTCTGGGATTCTTCGAGACATTCATCAAGACGCTCAATGTTCGCGCCGACGCCGCAGGCCGAAAAGTCACCTTCGCCGAGCGTGCCGTGGCAGGACTTTCTGCCGGTGGAATCGCAGCGATGATTGGAAACCCGGCCGACTTGGCCCTGGTGCGCATGCAGTCCGACGGCCTGAAGGCCCCCGAGGCTCGCGCAAACTACCGTTCCGTCTTTGATGCTCTCGGTCGTATCACTCGCACCGAGGGACTCGCTGCCTTGTGGGCTGGTGCTTCACCTACAGTTGTCCGTGCCATGGCCCTCAACATGGGTCAATTGACTTTCTTCTCGGAGGCTAAGCAGCAGCTTAAGCAGCATACCTCTCTCTCCGCTCAGAATCAGACTTTTGCTGCTTCCGGAATTGCTGGCTTCTTTGCCAGTTTCCTGTCTCTGCCTTTCGATTTCATCAAGACCCGTCTTCAGAAGCAACAAAAGGATCCCAAGACTGGACTGGTTCCTTATAAGGGTCTGGTGGATTGTGCGCGCAAGGTTGCTAAGGAAGAGGGCTGGTTGCGTTTCTACCGTGGCTTCGGTACTTACTACGTCCGGATCGCTCCTCATGCGTTAGTGCCCCCCACTTATTTTACCCCAACTTTGGATTTTTCCCCACTGACTCGCTTCTGCAGGATGGTCACTCTCATCGTCGCTGACTATCTCAACCTCCTCACTAAGTAAACTTGCTATACTCGGTTTTGAATGCCTGACTTTTCGGGTTTCATTCTTTTTACATTGCTCGATTACACAACATCGCATCGACCTATTGCTCAGTTGCGCGATTTAATATTTTCTCACGCAAAGTCTATCAATAGACACAGTCTGCTATTTTTAATATGGGAAGCACAGCTTTCGGAGGAAGACAGCCAATCCAACTCCTGAGACACTTTATGCTCCGTCAGGTCTGTGTGCATCGCACAAACCCACTCCTCCCTACAATAAAAAATCACCCATGGTGGATTTGGTTCCTGGACATTCAGAAAACATGACCGGCGAAAGACCCATTTCCATTTGCAATTTCTTTTGCATTCCCGGAGATGAGAAAACGAAAATGCGTCGGAGAGAGGGTACACGGCCGACAAGTCTTTTCCGCGGAGAGCCATCATGACAACACAGAATACAACGCATTGTCTTTGTCAGGCCTTTGACAAGTCGTTGCTCATTTCCTTCTTTTTGTTCTGTTTTTTTGCTTTTGTTGTGTTTTTCGACAAGCGAATACCCCCCTGTCTTGCTGTTGTTCTTCACCTATGTCATACTCTACGTCATGGTCTTAGGCCACCATGTCTGCTTTGGGGTAGACATGCGAGTTAGGTAGGATCCTCAGTGGATAGATAGCTTACTTGCCTATTCCTTTCTTTTTTTTTCTTCAATAGTAAAATCGCTACTGTGTCTCTGATTCATGTAGGGTTACATTCTTCAAGAGCTATAAGTATGTTTCTAGTAAAGGAACAATATGACTCAATCTCAATATTTCCAAGGTTGATTTATGGCAATCCCTGTCCGCATTTGGGACAGATTGCGTAGATACCACGAGCTGTCCAAGGGTATGAAGGTCGTAGGCTTATCGATCAATATTGCGACTTTCTGCCAATGGCTCCAAGTGATGACCTTTTCTTACAAATAGGATAAATAGTAGACGTAAATCCATCTTCCCAGGATTTATGTGAATGTATTCCATTCTAATAGAATAGAAAACAAGAAGGAAAGACATGCCATCGTGAGAGTGAAACAATCCACCATTAAAAATCGACTTCGTAAAAATAGGAGGCCCAAAGTACACCACCGGCAATATACTCGCCAGATGGCCGGGGAATCAAAAAAGTGTGGAGGGGGCGTGATAAAAGAAATAAAAAATAAAAAACCAGGCAGTCTACGATCAAGACGTGCCATTTCCATATCCACCACAGAACAAGACGCCCATCGCAAGAACGAAAAGAAGAAAAAGATCACATTCCATCCCATTCCCTTGAAGTTCATATTAGTTCGGATTAGATCTTATCATCACCAACACGCTTGGATTCGACGACGCCAGGCGGTAGGACATCCTCAAGTGTCTCGCCTGTACCTTCGAGCTCCTCCTCCGCAGGAACAGAGTCCTTGATCTTGAAAAAGACGACAGGAACGGCGATGAGGATCGACCCGCACAGCAGACCGAAGTTCGAGGCGTATTCGTTCATGAAGGGTAGTTTTCTTTCATCCAACGACCACATCACCGCTGCGCCGGCGGATTGAAGACCCTTGTAGAAACCTGCCAGGTTGGCGAGCTTGCGACCAGAGTTACCGAGGGCGCCCATGATCCTAGGGGAAGCAATGTCAGTCATGAGATATATGTATGGCAGGGAAGAAAAAAACGAAGAAAGTCTTACCAGTAGACAATACCCTGCCAGGCGGCATCGTACATGCCGTAGAAGAAGTAGAGGAACATAGGACCGACGTATCCCTTGGTAGTCCAATCCCAGCCCTTGAAATCCGTGGTCTTGGGGTCCACATCCTCACGGGTGTACCTCACCTGCCAGGCATAGCCACCGCCCCAAATAACGACCGTGAGAACGAAAAGTCCGACCAAGGCTGCCTTGGCACGAATAGAGCGACGAACGCGCTCACTATCAAGCAGGGGGCCCATGATAACAGCGGCCACGATCTGCGCAAACCAGTATAGGAATCCGTTCAGGGCTTTGGTGCGAGTGTTGAAGTAGGCGCCGTTAATAGCGTTCTGCTGGTATGTGTAGAACCAGTTGGAAGACCAGAACATGGGGAAGAGGAGGATGATCCATGGTTCCGAGCGAACTGTTTCCCACAATCCGACGATCTCGGACTTCCACGAGGGGTGTTTCATGAGGATGACGCGCGAGCCGTCGGGACGCACGACTTTGTCTGCGTCGCAGAGACATAGGGCAAGACATGCGCCTGCGAACATGAGTACGATAAAGGCGATGTAGGTGCCATCGCCGACTGTCTTGTTCTCCGTGACATGGATATTTTGGCCCAGAGGGATCTTTGAATTGGCATGTTAGTTGTTGTTGGATTATGTAGCCAATTGGGAGCGCAGGGCCAGGTTTGGGACTGGGCTTGTCTTACCAGACTACCAATACAGGCGCCGACATTGAAAATACCCCAGAACCAGGCGAAGTAGCGACCCTTCTGTTGCTCGATCGGGTAGGACATCATGATGGTACCCTGTGCGGCCCAGAGCAGACCGGCGCAGACACCGAGGAAGGCGCCGGCGAAGATATTGAAACCGGGGACATATGCATGTTCGGAGACGAGAAGACTAATGGAGTAAATGCAGTAACCGACTCCACCGAAGGAGAGGGAAAGACGGACGCCGATACGATTGACGACTGTTCCGGCGAAGAAACCCACCACGGCGAAGGTACTGTTCAACGCGATGTTCTGATTGATTGTTAGAGCGTGAATACCCACAATGTAAAATGTGACCAAATTGGAGGTTCGGAGTATTAGATTGGTGAAGAGTGGGGGCACGAGATAGGTATAGAACAACAAAAAAGTGCCCGAGGGTGCTCGGATCTTACCATTTTATCAGCCAAGCTGGGGTCGGACTTTCCACCACCGCCCATTCCACTTAGGGCATTGAACATGCCTGGACAAAGGAAACAGACGAAGGCGACCATGCCTAACTGGATGCGCGGCGAGGCATACCAGCTCGTTGAGAACTTGCCGATCTTATTGGACTTGTACATCCATCCTGCGGGTCGGGGTGTTGGGTCAGGTTCGGAGGAATGTTCGACGGTAGTCTTCTCTTCATCCATTATGAATGGAGGCGGAAGCCGTAAAAGAATAGAATGGTTAAAATGTGTAGAGAATATTAAGATGTGTGTTGGGGGAGAAGGTAAGATGAGAAAGGAGACATGAGATCTTTAAATCAAAGAAAAATTAAAAAAATTAAAAATTAAAAGATAGCCAGCTTCTGGTCAGCTTGTGGTCAATTTCTGGTCAGTTTCTTGTACGATGTACCCTTACCCCAACATTCAAAAAAGAGATATAGGCCAAGCGAGGGCTAAGTCCAGATTACAATCAAGAGATAGATCAAAATAGTGTTGCAGGGTAGCATTGGTTCGGTCACAGACTGGGGCTAGCTTTATGTGGCGGGCCTTGAGAGAGAGAGAACCATCGTAGATAGATATTGATGGTAGATCCAATTGGACAGGGGTGCTGTACTTGCGGGGGAGATTCTAGTTAATTGGGGCCAAGCCGCTTTGATAGCAGTGTTACACCCTGATGGCACTGTTTCTTTGAACGGGTCGGGTCAACCGGGTTGTCGCGTGAGAATGACTGGGGAAGGAGATGTAGTATTTTTGTTACAAGGTTACAAGGTTACTATGGATATTCCGGGGGTTAATAGATTGACTAATAGAGTTGGAGATCTGGCATTTAGAGTCACATCCCGACAAAGAACAAAAAAGAAAAAAAAAAAAAAAAGAAAGAAGGGAGAGACATTAGGGACTCAGGACGCTAGCCTTAAAACAGCCATACCTCACATTGATTGGTTGGTTCGTCCCGGTCCCATGAGCCAATCCGTTGGCTCAACTGCGGGGAGAGTCCATAATGGGACTAGCGTGGTCCATTCTTTCGGAATTTTAAAAACATGTGCTTGACATCTGCATGAAGTCCCCATATTCCCCATATTTTAGATCTATACCTTACCTACTTAGGTAGGTAGGAGGCTCTATTCTAAGTAATACAGATACAGTCAGCTCAAGGTCGAGGAAATACTGTAAAATTCAGATATGGAGTTTGAAACTGTTTGATGGAAAAAAACAAAAAGCAAACAAACAACAGAGATTCATTTAAAAATGCTCGAAATAGACGGTATCATGCATATTAGTCACTCTCTTGGCTTTCAACCTCCTCGTCCTCGGACCCACTCTCGACTTTGACCTCAATGTCACTATCACTGTCGGTGTCGGTGTCTTCACTGTCCTCGGTGTCCTCGGCATCACTGGTATCCTTATTCTGCCCTTTCTCGCTCTGCACATCCACTTGTTGGACATCCTTCTGGGAATCCACAGCTTCATTCTGCCCTTTCTCGTTCTGCATATCCAATTGTTGGACATCCTTCTGAGAATCCACAGCTTCATTCTGCCCTTGCTCGCTCTGGATATGCACCTGTTGGACATCCTTCGGAGAATCCACAGCTTCATTCTGTCCTTGCTCGCTCTGCACATCTGAATTTTCATCATCCCCATTCTCCTCCTCGCTGTGTCTTTCCTCGTTCTGCACTTCTTCATCCTGCTCTTCCTCATTCTGCCTTTCCTCACCAAGCACTTCTTCAATCACTTCTTCATTCTGATCTTCATTTTCTGGTTCGTCGAGTTCCATCTGTTCGTTTTGCTCTTCCTTGCTTTGCCCTTGTTCGGTGTCAACCTTATCGGTCTCCACTTCTTCGTTGTCTGGCTCTTCAATCTCGACATCTTCATTCCCTGCTTCGTCGTTGGTCAGTCCATCGACCTCGACTTCTTTCTCCCCTTCTTCGTTCTCACTTTCTGAATTATCCGGTTCCTCCACTCCCACCTCTTCACTTTGTGTTTGTTCGTGGTCTGGTTCTGTAAGATCAACATCTTCGTCCTGTTCTTGTTCAATTTCCACCTCTTCACTTTGTGTTTGTTCGTGGTCTGGCTCCGTAAGATCAACGTCTTCGTCCTGTTCTTGTTCAATCTCGACCTCTTCACTTTGTGTTTGTTCGTGGTCTGGCTCCGTAAGATCAACGTCTTCGTCCTGTTCTTGTTCAATCTCCACTTCTTCACTTTGTATTTGTTCGTGGTCTGGCTCCGTAAGATCAACGTCTTCGTCCTGTTCTTGTTCAATCTCGACCTCTTCACTTTGTGTTTGTTCGTCGTCTGATTCAGCAAGATCAATCTCTTCATCATCTTCATTCCCTGCTTCTTCGTTGGTCAGTCCATCGATCTCGACCTCTTTATTCTCCCCTTCTTCATTCTCACTTTCTGCATTGTTCGATTCCTCCATTTCCACTTCTTCATTGTGTGTTTGTTCATTGTGTGGTTCCCCAAGATCAACGTCTTCATCATCTTCATCCCCTGATTCTTCATTGGTCAGTCCATCGATATCGACCTCTTTCTCCCCTTCTTCATTCTCACTTTCTGTATTGTCCGGTTTCTCCATTTCCACCTCTTCATTGTGTGTCTGTTTGTCTGGTTCCGCAAGATCAACGTCTTCATCATCTTCATTTCCTGATTCTTCATTGGTCAGTCCATCGATATCGACCTCTTTCTCCCCTTCTTCATTCTCACTTTCTGAATTGTGTGGTTCCGCAAGATCAACGTCTTCAGCCTGTTCTTGCTCAATCTCCACCTCTTCATCATCTTCATTCCCTGATTCTTCATTGGTCAGTCCATCGATATCGACCTCTTTCTCCCCTTCTTCATTCTCACTTTCTGAATCGTGTGGTTCCGCAAGATCAACGTCTTCATTTGGTTCTTCTTCAATCGCCACCTCTTCATTTTGTGTTTGTTCATTGTGTGGTACCGCAAGATCAACGTCTTCGTCCTGTTCTTGTTCAATCTCCGCCTCTTCAATATCTTCATTCTCCTCTTCTCCGTTCTTACCTTCTTGCTTGTCCGGTTCCTCCATTTCCACGTGTTCATTTTCTTCTTCATCAATCTCCACCTCTTCACTCTCTCCTTCTTCGATCTGCTCTTCCTCGTCTTCCCCTTCTTCGTCTTCATCTTCATCATCATCTTCTTCTTCATCCTCCCCTTCTTCACTCTCCACTCCTACATTATCCCCATCCTCAGCCTCAGCATCTTGACTCTCCGCATCGCCACTGGACTCATCATCAGATTGAGCGGCCCGAGCAGCCTGACTGAGCGGCTCCATTTTGATGTGCTGTGAGGGAGGAGGGGCATCAACATCCATAGCATCATCATCGCTTTCCACGTCACTACCCAAGGTAATGCCGGTACTGCGATCTTTCTGCTTTCTGCCATCCCCTTCAAGGTGATCATCTTCCTCCTCGCGCTCCTGGAGTTCTTGGGCACGGCGAACACGTCGTAGTAAAACAGGATCTGGCCGCAAGTCGTCCTCAGTTAACGGAATAGAACAGACAGGACATTTGACCACATGGACGCGGCGCTGTCCCCGACGGGCTGCCGGGGGTGCAATAGTAGTCGGGCTGCGTTTGATCATATCCATAATGGCCTCGCGCTCGAAACTGTGCGGACATTTGGTGCTCGTCACGGGATCCTGGTAAGGTGTAAGAGTCAATGGGCATTTGAGGGAGATGCGCTCGCGCTCAATGGCAATGTCATCGTCGGACCCGGCGGGCGAGGTGCGACGGTTCTGGTTGCGTGTACGTGTCCGAGCCCCTGATGGCGTATTCGCGTCTTCCATGTGTTCAAACCATGTAGATGAGTGGGGCAATGGCGGGACGTCGTCGCCGGGGAACTTTGAGTCGTGTACCATTCGGTAGAAGCCGATGTAGGAGTTATTGCTGGCATATCTAGATCGTAGTTGTCAGTTTCTATGCATTCAAGTTCAAGTATAATAGCCACAAAAATGGCCAGGGGTACATCTCATACCTCTCTGTCAAAGAAAGCTCGTCCCATTTCTGAACGCCCTCCGTCAACTTGTCGACCAGCTTGCGACTAGGCGGGTTCTGTGCGTTGCGCTCGAGCATCTCTCTCTCCTGCTCATCTTCATAATCGCCATCGGTGGGATCCTCGGTCCCATCGGCGTCTTCGTCGGCATTGGCTCTCTGTCTTGCCCGCTGTTGACGAGTCTGTCTCACTCCCAAAGCAGCGGCGACAGTCTCGCCCTCTTCTCTTTCGATTTGACCCATCGCATCCGTCAACCCCTGGAGCTTTATTTCTGAATCGACAACCAGTCGAGTCTTCTCCTCCATCTGAGCAGTAATAGCATCGACTCGAGTCTCTGCCTCAGCAAGCCGCTGGTACTCCTCATTGCTCTCGTCGTCGATATCCTCGTCACCTTGACGTCGGCGCGCTTCCTTCAGTTTCTCGTAGCGAATCCTGGCATCACTAAGACGCTCATTTACTTCGCCGCCTGAATGTGTGAGTTTCTCGGTGGCATGTTGGAGGTGGGTGCGGAGGTTGCGGAGGTGATGCGATGCAAGGAGGGCGGCGATTTGGCGCTGGCTTTCTGCTGTGAGAGGGGCCACGGGGGTCTCATATTCTGGTAGAGGGGTTCCCTCTGAGACTGAGGTCTGGGTTGCGTTTCGTCTGCGTGATTGTGCTGATTGGGGATGGGTTGAGGGCTGTCGGCTTGGTGTTGCCGACATCGTTGTGGGTGAAGAATTGTTGTAGTGGGTGAATTTGTGAAATGCGGATTCTGGGGGTTTTATGCCTTGATTTCGAGCACAGGGTTCTCAAGCCGTTGACAAAGAAAGTCCAAGTAACAAAGCGCAGTTCGAAATCCCGACGCGAGACGCGATGACGCTAGTCCCGTTTGGGTTACATATATATCAGCGATAAGCCTTATCACTGCGGAGTGGGTCTTGGCATTGGAAGGAACTAGTTAACTGTTGTACGTCGAGTATAACTTCGTTTAAGAGACACTCTCATGTTTATTCTTCTGCATCATCTACTCCAGTGTCTGGCTCTGTTAATCCCAGGGCGAACCTATTATCCATTGGATGGATATGCGGGTACATTTTGCTCTCATCACCCATAACTTCAAGCCCCCATATCCTAGGTCTAGATCTAGATGATGTATTTTCCGTTCTCCTGTGAAAATACTGCATCTCCAAATATGAAGCACGAAAAACAAGATAAACGAACGACACTTCCAGTTAATACATAGTTAGAACTTAGGGGTATTTATCCTCACTAGAAAGAACAAACCTTGGAAATCGATGGCCAGAAGTTGCCACTGTTCTTGATACCCAAAATACTGTCATACACGACGTATACCGTTAGCATTTCTTCATCTCACCCGTAAACCGAAGCTTTTAGGAGAATACAGGTGACTATGTTGACTTGAAATACCTGTTTGTGTGACATATTCATCTACTCCTAGCTGAATATAAGGCTGAAATTGCAGGGTTACATCTATCACTAATTACATTGTACAAAACCCCCTGCATGAGCCCATACTAAGAAAGCACCACCGCAATATTCAAGCTACATTGATGCGCTGTATTTTGTTAGTCGAACACGAAATACCCTTGCTGTGTGTGAACTACATTGTGACACTTACTTAGAACGACAAAGTCAGAACGGGACGCCTTAATCATACGCAACTATCTACCAACGACAAGGGTTCCCTGTTTTATAAATCTACATACTCATGTATTTTCTCTGAAACCTGTCCCAATCAGATGTAGGTTGGAACGACCTTCACGCCCCAATTCAGTGCTCATGTTAAAGTTGCGGGTGGCCTGGCGTTCGTGTACGGATCTGATTCGAGCATTAATCTGCATTTGCAGAAGACGTTTATCTCCATGACTGTACGGCATGGTTCTTGGCCCCGTATGACAGTCTCCGGTGTCGGTCTCCGAGGACCCTATTTAATTTATCGTGCCGTCCCGTCAGGGCAGAACCCATGGCCAAAACACAGGGCTATCAATGCACGATGATGTATCAACCTGCGGTGGTAGATTAAAGTGACCTCAGGAGACTTTCTCCAGCCACCGTGGACGCTCCGGAAGAGCAACGATGACCAGAAAGAAGAGAAAAAAAAGAAATCCACTTCCTCTTTACTTCGTACCTCGTCGGCTGTTCAAGCTCGTATGTTCTTCCACAGCTCCTTAAGTACTTGTCCTATAAGCTCAATATTGGGTTACCTACTTAACCAAGGAATCAGGGAATTCTTGATTCTTATCAAGCCAGTCATCGCTGCTAGTCCAACAGATCTCTATCTATTTATATGCAGTCTCTTTCGATCTGGTTACAGCCGGAAGATACCCCTCTGCGCGACTATGGATTGGTTGAGGAGGTTGTTCACAGGGAAGTGTTCTGCGAAAGCAGCAGAACAAAAAGCAAAAAGGCGAGCGAGCAAAAGGCACAGTGAGAGAGTTCGTGCGCGGGAGAAGGAGCTCCGATGCGCGAAGCAACATAACGGATCCAAAAAGCCAGGCCTCTTTTGGGGATCGCCAGGCCAGACATACGAGAATAATGTTCGTGGTCCGGATGAAGAAATCTGGGTTATGAAACCTTATTAGTGTTTAACTAAGAGCCGTGTTTACTGGAGTACCTACGTCTTCTATATATGTCTTTGATGTCGCAAAAAGTCATTTCTGTTGGGTGCCTGATTATATACGGGCTGCTGGAGCTGCTGCAGTCCAATGCCTCGGATGACCGGCTTATTGCGTCGACCGAAAGGACTAATACCTTTGGACATGTTGGGAATGCTGTGGAGATTCAGCAGCAGGATGTATAGAGGATGAGAGGGAGTTGGGAATGGTGCACTAGTAAATTGAGAAGGAGTTTATATTGAAAGGAGCGAATATGCCTGTGGTTTGAGGGTTGTAAGCGTCAATTGTGATTCATGTCATATAACAATTGAAAGTCTAGTTATTTTTATGTGTGAGGAGATGATTCATTGGAATTGAAAATACAAGTGCTGAGCGATGATCAATGGAATATTCAAGTTTCCATGATAGCCTACACCTTGTAGAAGCAGTATGCATGGTAGAAGCCTGGCGATGTCATCTGTTAGCGGCTGAGAAAAGCAATGTACATCTGGGGTTTACTCACTGACGGCTTCCTTCTCTTCCTCTGTCATATTCAAAGCACCAGTCGCGCGGTCTCTTACGCCCATCCGCTCACTGAGCGGACCCAGCTCGGGGTGATTCTTCTCATCCTCCCAAATCTCCAAAAATGGCTTGCGGTACTGTAATTCCAGGTTGTAATCCTCGGTCAGGCTGAATGAAAAGTTAGTTATGCATGGCAGAACGTGATAATGGTCGACACTCACGCTCGGAAAGCCTCCCATGGAACAACGTATTCGGGCACCTCTTCCACTGCCTCCTCCATGAAGTAACTGTACTTCCACCCGAAAGGTGGACGGAAGATTCCATCCTCGGGGGTTAGACCAGGGAACTGAACGCGGTAGATATCGTTGCCCCACTGGGCCCGCTCATCCTCCTCGACTTCACCATCCTCGGGGCCGTCCGGCTCAACCGGTTTGGCAGCCTCACGCTCCTTGCGCCCCTTGTGGAAGGTAGACACGCGGCTGGTAATGACATCTGAGTTAGGACAAACGCCGAGGAAACGGCCGCCTTTCTTCAAGCAACCCGCAACATTGCTGAGCATTTGGCGGGTCTTCTCTTCAGTTTCAAAGGCATAGTGAATGGCAAACATAGAAGTGACGATGTCAAAGCCGCCACCGCCGTAGCGAGAGGCCATGATAGACCCACCGGGACCGGCATTGGCATCAATACCAACCCGCTGGATGATATCGATATCGCCCAGCCACTCGCCAAAGCAGTCTTTCGGGTAGAACTCGGCATGGAAAATGGGTTGGGGTGGTCGACGGCCTCGCTGGCCACGGCCGGTGCGCATTTGATCGTACCGACCTCGTGCCTGCTCAATTGAGACATTGGCAGGGTCAAGACCGACGTAGAGGTCAACCGGCTGAGGCGCCAGCTGCCACTTGCCCAGATCACCACCCTTACCACAGCCGAGATCCAGCACGAGAAGCTTTTGATCAGCAGGGGGCGGCGGGCCCTGGCTGTCGTCCGCCCAGTCCTTGCTATCCTCGAATCGCGCGACAAATGACTCGTCGGGAGAGAACTTCTGAATCAGAGTACTCTTCACCCAATTGTTGAAGCTTCGTAGTCCCTTGATCTTGCTCTCTGTCTTCCGCCACTCACGGCCTCTCTCCGGAACCGCGTTGTAGTGTTGTCGGACCACGTCCGTGACACCGCGCTGCTGGGAGTTGCGCATAGCCTCATTCTGCTCTGCACGTTCACGTTCCTCCTGTTTGCGTCGCAGTGTCTCACGGTCTAGGAGACCCTGTCGCGCTCCGCCACCTGGTCTCTTGCGTTGACGTGGTGCATCGGGGGAGGGAGAGCGGCGTGGCTGTAGTGGCGATCGAGAGCGTCGGTCTTCGCGTGGTGGAGCGCCGCCAGGGCTGCGGGAGCGGTTGCGTCGTGAAAATACTGATGGCGGAGTTCGGCCTCGTTTCCGAAGGGCCTGGTGTCTCTCTTGGAGTCTTCTACGCTTGGATGCGGCGCTTGATAAATGACTCGATCCGTCTGCCGCACAGTCTCCTTCGATGCTCCTGTGTCTTCCGGTGTCTGTTGGAGGGTGTGTGGTATTCGTGCGAGCAGGCGAGCGGGGCGTGGATCTCCCATGAGCTCCATCATAAGCTCCATCTCCGTTGGGATGATCCATGGCGTCGTGGGTAGAGTTGTGAAATGTTCAAAGAAGTGACTCGGGAGAACAATGACGACGGGGATCTGGCGAGGAAAGAAAGGGTAACTGAAAATTAGAGTAATTAATCTTAGTAGAAATACAGAATTTCAGGCTGATTTCACCGATGTTGCTCTCCGGAGATGTGGAAAGCCAGAGTTATATCAGAGTAATGGCCAGCTGGGGGTCCGAAGAAAGTCCAATGAGCTCCGAATCTCGACCAATCAGAGCATCTCAAGGCAACCCTAATTCACATTCATCTGTCTACGTAGGGACATGTCTTTCAAATGGCTTCTTAAAATTAAGACGAATAGACATGAATTTGAGATAAAATGTAGTTATTCTTATCATTGCAAAGTGTCGTGTCTCACAATGACCATAAGTCGAGGCTATCTGAAAAAGAAAATAAAAATAAACACAAGCCGCTGAAAGATGCACTTTGACCCTCATAAAACCCGCGCTCCCAATTAATGTAATATTGAATAGAAAAGAAGATCAGAATGCAAGATCACTGAGGCAAGACAGCTTTCCGTTTTGGCGACTTCGCCGTCAAAACCTGTCTTACTCGTCGGATTTTCGCCCACCACTCGCGCTCTGCTTTCTTTTTCGCGTCCGGGTTTTCTTCTTCGCCTTGAGTCTCTGTTGGTGTGCTTAGGTCGGTCCGCAATGTATCCGTGGAGGTCATGGTGCGAACTCTGCGGCGGTGTTTGACCTTAACGGCCTCCGTGACGATCTGCCACCCCGCGCGTAGTTCCGTCAAGTTCTCGTTGGCCCGCCCGGTGCCACTTTGGGCTACCTTGTCAATCCAGGGACAATACTCCATGTGCTCTTCGGCCACATTAAGGGAAGTGTAGACGGTCACGTCTCCATTATCTTTGGGTTTGTACATCCATAACCCCAGGCGACGGAAACACGCACCACACCCAACTAACCCCGCAGCTTCATCAGAGGCAGTATCCCAGCCGAGCAATGCTAGCGCTAGGGCAGTTCGATTGGCAGCTTTCGGCTTTTCTGTTGAGTTTTGGTTATCGATGTTTGTAGGCTGAGCCTCTCCACTGGTGGATACAGCAGCTTTCTCGGCCTCTTGGAACCATTCGTCGGGAAGTCCTTTGATAAGGATATCGAGGTCAAGCCCTTCTGGGGTCTGAACGATATCCTCAGCTGGCAATTTATCGCCCATTTTCGAAATGTTTGTATATCGCTGGTGAAGTCCCGATAGGGCAGCATCATAATTGGTCAAAGGGAGATGTTGGATAGTGGCTAATCTGATGTCAGTCATGGGACGAAAGGTTCACAGTTTCCTATTCAAACTCACCATCACAGCTCTTGTTTCGCCAGGGACAGTTTTCCCCATGAGCACTGCTTAGCATTTTCGCATACTCATCCACCAGCCTCGAGCCTGCAGATATATAGGTTAGCATATAACCTTGTTCAACCGGTCTAGCAATCTGTTGGATTACTCACGGACTTCCTTGCGCTCCTCCACCTTCTCAATGTTGAAACCATCAAGCTCATCGATTTCATCAGGAAGCTTCACAACGACTGCGCCACCGCAATCACTCACGCAGGTGACACGCATAACATCAGTACATATCCAACCACGTTTCGCCCATTGTACTTCGTTGATCGGAGAGGGCTTTGAAGTCCACCGGTCGACACGACGGAAGGTCTCTAACCGCTCGAGAAAACGTTCGCGGTCCCAAGGGACAAAGGTTGGGCGCTTATTCGAATTTGCTGATCCTCTTCGGTGCGCTGGTCGTGATATCTTGTAGATTGAATTGCGCACCGCTGGGAGATCCGAGCGGTCGGCACTGGCCAAACGTACTTTCTTGATCGATAGGTTGGCGGAGAGACGGTCTTGCACCGTCGTTGCTGTCGCAGGGGCTGGTTTGGGGGCGTTGTCGGGCGTAAGAGGTTTGGATATTGATTCGAGGACACGATGAAACTTGCGTTTCTTTGATTCCAAGGCGTAGGACATATTGGCGCTGCGTTGGAAAGCAAGTCAAGTGAGGCAGATCAATACGACGCGGAGAGTTGGAGCTGCGGCGATCATCACGTCTGAGGTGTCTCCGCCTCAGGCACCAACATCGATATTGGATCCATACATGGATACTCACGGTCAGTTCGAAATAGAACAATATAGATGTTAGTATTCTCTCAATTATTCAATTTAATTCCACCGTCAACTGTTGTGTACTGTTGACAGGGCTATTCCACTCCGACAAATGCTCCACTGTTGATTGGCCGAGACATTCCGCGACATCGTACAATCCCCGAACTTCAGCGACGTTCTTCTTTCACTCATCCACCTAAACCATGGCTTCGCTGGGGAGCTCTGTGTCGCTATGGCGGGGTGTTGCACCTCGTCTGGCAAAGGACTTTTTCACATCCCAATGCCTCCCAAGTCAGGGCTACGCAGCCAAATCAATCCGCCAATTCGGTGCCCTTCAATTCCGTCAACCCACCAAGATTCAATCGAACCTTCTGAATAATAAGAAATTCTTCTCCTCCAGTCTCAACCATTCAAATACTGCACCGGCCGTTGCAGAGGCACTCGAAGGGGGTTCCGCAAAAGCCAAATCGAGCTTCCCCAAAATTAGCGACAAAGCCGTTGCATATTGGCTTCTAGGCAGCGCGGCCAGTGTTTTTGGAATTGTGGTCTTCGGTGGTTTGACACGTTTGACAGAATCAGGGTATGTGGGCTGGGTTGCTGGGTCTTCACGAAAAGTGAGCTTGGAACGCTGACGGGATACATTTTTGGCACAGATTGAGTATTACCGAATGGCGACCTGTTACCGGATCCCTCCCTCCAATGAACGCGGAACACTGGGAGGATGAATTTTCAAAGTACCGCGCCTCTCCCGAATTTCAATTGCTTAACCCGAACATGACTCTATCCGAGTTCAAGTCTATCTACTATATGGAATGGATTCACCGGCTTTGGGGCCGGTTCGTCGGAATCTCATTTGTGCTGCCTGCAGTCTATTTCGTCGCTCGAAAGAAGGTCTCCACGCCCATGACGTGGCGTCTTTTCGGAATCGCTGGTATTATTGGTTTCCAGGGTTTCATTGGCTGGTGGATGGTCAAGTCTGGTCTGAAGGATGATCTCTTTGCTCCGGGCAGTCACCCGCGAGTAAGCCAATACCGTCTGACTGCTCACTTGGGTGCTGCTTTCGTTTGCTACGTTGCGATGCTGTGGAACGGTCTTGCTATTTTGCGGTCTAACCGGTTGATGGCCGACCCAGTCGCTGGACTCAACCAGCTGAATGCGCTGCGCGACCCGAAGCTGGCCTTCTTCCGCCGCTCAGTCGCCGGTATTGCTCTTTTGGTCTTCACAACTGTCATTTCTGGTGGTCTCGTCGCTGGTCTTGATGCTGGACTTATCTACAACGAATTCCCATGGATGGGTAAAGGACTAGCACCCCCCAAGGAGGAGCTGTTCGATGCCCGCTACTCCCGCCACGAGGACCGCTCCGATCTTTGGTGGCGCAACATGCTTGAGAATCCTTCTCTTGTTCAGCTTGACCACCGCGCCCTCGCAGTGACCACCTTCACCGTCATTTGCGGCTTGATGGCTTACACCCGCGGCTCGCCCACCATGAAGCGCTTCCTGCCAGCACCTGCGAGAAAGGGTGTACACGGCGTGTTTGCGTTTGCTTGTTGCCAAGTCGGACTCGGTATTACTACCCTTCTCTACCTCGTTCCCACCCCGCTTGCTTCTGCCCACCAGGCTGGTAGCTTGTTCCTCCTGACCTGGGTTATGATCTTGGGCAGCCGAGTCTGGCATCCATCGCGCACAGCCAAGCTGTTGCAGATGGCTGTGAAGGCTCGCTCCCAGCAGCTTTCTAGCACTGCTGCCTCTGCTGTGAAGAGAGTATAATTACTTTGCCTCTCGAGTGTATAAATATGTCGGCCAGGGTTGATTGTGTTAAGTCAATCGCCTTGGTAAATGATACCATCTCCATTCCTGTGTTGACTCGAGCGATTTCTCGAGTCTTATTGTATAACTAGCATACCTACTCATTCATTGTAAAAACAAAATTTGAACTAAAATGAAGTTATTGGTTGATCTCCCTAAGTCCAAAGTTGATATCCAAGAGATGCGCAATCAGATTCTTTTTTTTTTTTTTTTTCGTCTTCTTTCTCGCCCTTCATAGTTCTTTGTTCTCATCTTCCATGTCTTCACAGTTGTCTCCCCCATTTTCTTACATTGAATTTCCAAATCTCAGTGATACTTCCTTGCTCTGGCCTGCCTCGCCAAATCCACACCAACTTACTCCGCCATCTTTGTAGAAGGTCTCGCAGCACGTGCAGGATTGCGACGTGTTATGATATACCCAACAGGCAAACCGTCCTCACCAATAGGGATATCAGTCTCATCCTGAGGCCACACCTCCTCCCCAGTAATCGACAAGGTCATATCAGAATCCGTAGACAAAGAATCAATCTGCTGCTGCATGACTCGGCGAGGCCCATGAACCACTGTCTGTCCACCTGCAATACCTCTCACAACACGGGTAGTACCAGTAGTTCCCGTTGGGTTAACCAAAGATCCAAGATCCAGCAAGGTTTGCGCAGCCCTAACATGGGCAATGGACTCAGAGGATCGACGGTCTTGGGTCCCGTCCACAGGTGGCAAAGACAGTGGCATATCGCCGCCGCCCTCGGGGACATGAGTCGCTCCGAAGGAAGCGTGAGTTCGGTCTCCGTTTCGGTCGCTCAGACACTTGCGGCAGATTTGCCAGCCGCAGTTCTGGCAGCGAGACATGCCGTTCTTGTTGCGCTTGTTGCAGACGTCGCATTTTGCGGTGTGTGCTGCTACTTCTGAGAAGTGGACGCCGATTCGCCGTCTCTGCACTCGGTGGTTTGCGGTTGCATCGCGGTTAATCCTTTGGCGGTTGATTTGTTTGTTCGGTTGGGCCCGATTTGTTGGAATTCGTCGAGGCGCGTTGGCGGGGGTCTTCGTGGTTGATGCCACTGGGGTGTTTGGTGATAGTCGCTCGCGGATTGTTGTCTGTGCGGAGCTAAGAGTCGATTGTGTAGAGGTTGGGGATGTCTGGATTGGCTGGGGTTCCTTCAGGCGTACTGGGAGTCCAGGGGCGAGAGTCATCTCTATGGGATGGGTTTGTAAGCTGCACTTTTGGCCTGAGACGGAGGCTTTTGTTCTCTTTCTTACCCTTCTCCGCGTTCACATTGGCTTGAGGAGCCCCGGCAGAGACCTATTGTTGGGAAGTCAGCTATGTATGATACTCTCTTTCTCGTATATCTAGCATTCTATACGTACGTTTTGGTAGGTAAATCCGGGGCCACGAAAAGCCTGCTAGATATTAGAATAGTATCTCAAGGGAGAGACGGATGGATACAAACATTCTGGCTAGGGTCAGGCGGGACAAGCCATCCATTAGCTGGATAGGGTGGGTACGGGTTGGGAATGGTATTCATCTTCTGCGGCGAAGACGAGGAACTGCTATCTGTTCCATCGTACATATTGTTAGAAAGATGCGAGCTCGGCTGGTTGCGCCTGTTGACTTCGATAGACTCGTCGAGCTCCCGAAAAGATGGAAGACTCAGGTCTGGGATGCGAGGGAGAGGCATGGTATGATGGCCCATGATTTCGCAAGAGCTGTGCGCGATGGTACTCGATGATATTTGAAGAAGTATTTCTTTGACCAAGAATAGAAAAAAAGGAAGGGGATGGGGATGTAGGAAATGGAAATGGAAATGGATGATGTAGATAAAAGGCTTGGGGTTGATGAAGGTTCTCAGATGCAAGTTGTACTAGGCATTGTTATATACAGTCTCATGGGATCGGACGACGCCTGGTGGTTTTAAGGAGAGGGCCACTTGAAAAGCAAACAAACAGGTCGGAACCCTCGAAAACACAGCAACAGGTAGACTTGATTAGGTTGAGCATCAGGTCAATATCTGGCTATAATCTAATTAGGATTAACTATTTGGGAGTACATATCTGCTTTACATTATATCAAGAGTCGACCTTGAATCAAATACAATCAACAATATTGTTTGGAAAATTGGCTGTATCGCCTCGATAATTTAGAACCTATCTTATTTGCTGCATTTATCATGGAATAGAGAATTTGCATTCAAACCCCCAACGCATAACACATCAAAAGCATCACCCTCCTCTGCTCGGGCAATCATGTCGTTTCATTCATTTGTGGGCTGTATATTCATCGTCAGCGATATCGGCTCGTGGAAATTGGCTGATATTAATAACATACGGATTCCTTCCTCGGGGCTGGGCTCAATGCCGGCGACTTCGGCAGCAGTCTTGGGCTCGGCAGCGGTCTTGTCATCCTTCATCATGGGGAAGGTCAACACTTCCTTGATGCTGTAGTTGTCGGTAAGGAACATGACCAGGCGGTCAATGCCCATACCCCACCCAGCAGTGGGGGGCAGACCGTACTCGAGGGATTGACAGAAAGTCTCATCAACCATCTGGGCCTCGTCATCACCCTGGCTCTTCTGGTTGGCCTGCTCCTCAAAGCGCATACGCTGGTCAAAGGGATCGTTCAACTCAGTGTAAGCATTTGTGATCTCCTTGGTGCTATATTGATATATTGAGTTAGTCATAATTCTTTGAAAGCTGATTGGCCAATTTGGGGTAGACCAAATTCGGACCAATTTGAAATTGGGAAATTTTTTTTAAAAAAAAAACAGCAGAGTTTTAACTCCAACTATAATAAGCACTCACCAAACGAAGGCCTCGAAACGTTCGCAAAGACCAGCATGCTCGCGGTGTTTCTTAGCCAGTGGTGACATCATTTGGGGGTGACCACTGATGAAAGTGGGGTTGATGCACGTGTTCTCGATGAACTCGCCAACCAGCTTGTCAAGCATGCGAGCATTAGTCTGAGGAGCCGAGCAATCCACGTTCATCTTCTTCAGAATGCGCTTGAGGAATTCGTTGGTCTCCTGGGTGTGCAGCTGGTCACCGGGAGGGAACTTTTCCCCGCAGGCCTCCTCGAGAGCAGGCATCATTTCCACTCGCCGCCATGGACCCTTCCAGTTCACGTTGTAGGTTTCGCCAGACTGAGTGTGGAATACTGTCTCATAACCACCGGTCACGTGCTTTACCAGACCGGAAACAAGGTCCTCGGTCAAGTCCATCAGGTCGTACACATCCGCGTAAGCCTGGTAAAACTCGCAAGATGTGAATTCGGGATTGTGAGTAAGGTCAATTCCCTCATTCCTGAAATTGCGTGATAATTCGTATACGCTGCATTGTATTAGCATGGGTCGATAGAGGATAAAAAATTGACATACCGTTCCATTCCGCCTACAATCAGCATCTTCAGGTAAAGCTCAGGGGCGACTCGCATAAAGAGGTCCATGTTGTGTTCATTGTGGTGAGTAACGAAGGGTTTAGCGGTAGCACCACCTGCAATAGCGTTCATCATAGGAGTTTCAACTTCAGTAAAGTCACGGCTATCGAAGTACTGGCGGATGTAGGAGACAATCTTGGCCCGGGTCCGGAAGATATCACGTGATCGTTCATTCATAATAAGATCCAGGTAGCGCTGGCGGAAACGCAGCTCTTTATCCTGGAAGCCGTAATGTTCGGAAGGAATGGCATGCAAGCAAGGTGTCAGGAGAATGACCTCATTGGCGAAGATAGAAAGTTCACCATCGTCACGGTTCTTAGGGTTAGTTCGACCCGGGAAACCGACGATGCCCACGATATCACCTCGGCGAAGTAGCTCGTGCTGTTCTTCAAAAGGCTTTCCAGTGGAGAATTGTGCTTGGCACATCACCTGGACCTTAACACCCTCTGCGCGGATATCGTAGAAGTTCAGCTTGTTGCCGGACGTACGCTTAGTGTAGATACGGCCGGCAATGCGAACGGTGACATCAGTCTTCTGTTCGCCCTTCTGGAGGCCCTCATAGTCCTTGAGGAAATTGCGTAGGTCAGTGTCAACTTGGAATTTGTGCGGGTAGGGATCCGGCTGCTTGGTTTCGCGCAGCTTGTTGACTTTCTTGCTCCGAATCTCGAAGTATTGCTAGATTTACACATTAATTAGCTCCATAAATTGAGAATTGATCTAGTCGTAAAAGTACTAACGTTTGGAGTCAAGTTGGCCTCGTCTTCCTCGGCGGATGATTTCTTTTCAGCCTTGGGCTTGGGGGGAGCAGCGGCCTCCTTCTCCTTCTTCTTGGCGTCCTTCTCACGCTGCTTCTGGCGTCTCTTCAATTCAGTCTTGGAGACTTTCTCGCCGGTGACATCGTCGAGAATAAGATTGGCAATGGAGGCTGTGGCCTCTTGAACAGGGTTGGAGTCCGCCATGATGTGTGGTTACAGAGAACAAAAAAAGTGGGATGGTGGGATGGTGGGATAACAGATGGAATTTTTGGGCGCGATCGGCATGGGATGTGATTGGATGATTTCGGGTTCTTCCAACCTTCGTGACTCATGTCTTATATTGACTCGACTCCCGAGGTGAGACAACTACATAGTTATTAACTATGTAGTTAACTAGTTAAACTATACATGTAAATAACGTTTTTATTAAAAAAACAAACAATGCTCTACTGCCCGGACTCTACCCCATCTCCCATTGTCGAGCATAGTTCGCGGATACACAATTGGGATTTAGGGTTTAGGGCACGCGTATATCTACTCCTTCCAACGTTGTAATGACTGTTTTATTTAACAAGACGAAGGGTTGGTAAGTCATCTGATAGAAAGTACATGTATTTTTATTTGTTAGGGCATCAGATCTGCAATCGGGTTAGCTTAGCTTACTCGATAGTTATCCAGACGTACATACCTACCTACGGAGTAAACTGTCCCTAATACAACTAGTAGATAGCCCTAATTAGCTCAGAGTATGCTATTAAAATTAAAGCAAACAAAGAGGCATGAAATGTATGGTATCGATGAACGACGATGGCTACCATGGCCGGAATTTGCTTCTACTTAGGGCATGAACCCATGTTTACATAATCACCTAGCTGCCCAGATATTGTAGGTAGTTATATGTCGAAGAATAACTTGGTGACAATTATCATGACATCCTATGAGTGTTGGCTCAATTAGACAACCCACTTATCCCATTGGGTTCGAGTAGAGATAGCCGCGGCTTATTTCGTGGTCATTGTGACAAAGTATTTGGAGAACTTTGCGCCAGTTTCGACTTCAACAAGTTTAGAGAGAGCAAGGGGCATATAAACCAATGCCTATTCAGCTTCTTGAACTTATTTACAGTAAACACCTTAGTAGGTAGTATGCCACTCGTATTCGCATGTTCTCTCAAGATTATTATACATAGGCAACCAAACGGGCATTCTGGACTACCAAGGAACGATTCTAACATATAACTAGGCGAGTCCGCTAATAACTGGAAAGCTGACCAAATCCGCTTCTTAATGGGACAAATGCTCTATCTAGATACACATCGCTTGAAGTTTCAGAGTCTTTGAGCCCCGGAATGATTAATATCAATTTTGAAAAGGCCCGTATAAGCTTATCGAGGACAATCTCGCTCATCAAGAACTTGCCATCTTTAGTGTGCTAGGCCTAGAAGAGGTTTATGTGGGGTCTGAGAGACGGCGTTAATAGGTTGATGAACTCGAGGGTAGTACGATAGTGGAAGTTTTCATGGACAGAAAGATATCTGTGTGAACTGGTTAAGTACGATAGATATCTTAATATATCTGAGGGATACATTATCACTACCCGGTCTTTTTCAGAGGTTGCCAGATAGTTTGGTGTACTTTGAGCAACAATAGTTCACTGCTTGGTGCTTAGAGATGATGGGTGCCACTTAAACACTTAAGATTTCTTTCCCTACTAACAATATCTATGAATATAATCATCTACGATACATATAGTCGCTTTCGCTTGATGATAATCGGTACAATGTCCTTTTTCTTGTATTTTTGCTCTGCTTTTCAATTGTTTTACATTTTCAATTTTCCCATTCGGTCCATATGTCCCCATAATATTCAAAACATTGTTCAGGTTCACAGGCATTCCTTGAGAACAGCGACCTCAAGCCCACATTTGGGTTGAGCAACAGTGTAAGTAGCAAGATCGTGAAGACCACAAGAAGCCACAATTCACCAATCTTCTTTGATGTCTACGAGCGCAGTTTGGTCCGAGTCTTCCATTTCGACGTCTGAATCTCGGACGGAGGCCAACCATTCTTGAGCTTTGCTGAACTTCTCCCGTTCTTTCAGTAACTGAGCACGGCGATGCCGGCGTTCAGGGTCCTCTGTCATAAGGTCGAGACAGCGAGCACGACCTAAATTACTTATTAGCAACATTTTCGATCCTCATGCTCAATACATGTGATGTGTTTGCTCACCGTTATCACCGAAAATCTCCAGGTCGTCACGAAGAGTATTAACGAGACTTGCACGGCAAGCCCGGAACAACTTCATGTGAGTGGACTGACATAGGACGTCTAGGAAACGAGAAGATGCGATATCATAGTAGGCCAGCGAGCTCTATGACCGGAATTAGTAAATGCCAGAAGATCTCCCCGAGAAGACTTACAGCCATCATCTCAAGTTCTTGAGAGTATCTATCCGGACCGAGTTGGTCTGGTTGAATCTTCTTGATCTTTTCGAAAATTCTTTCGTCACTCATATCGTGGCCACGAATCTTTAGCCAACAACTGGCACGAGCATTGAATCGACGAGCTTTGAGAGAGTGTGCAGCCTGTGCCATGAGAACTTGATGTTGACCTTGAGCCATTGTGAACGGTATCTCACGCTCGGACTTGCAATAATCTTTCGCGATTTGAAGATGAGCATGGCGGAGCTTGCTCATGAATTCCTTCAATATTCTGTTCAGTTCTTGATACAGACCAGTTTGGTGATATTGGGCGAATTCTTCCTCAAGAGCTTCAATCAACATGCCGTGCACAAGGCTATGGGTGGCCTTTAGGAAAATCTCCATGAGCTTTCCCCAGTGCTCCACGCTCCTTTTGTTCAGATTTTCAATCGCTCGTGGATCAAGCTGGTTCGGCACACCAACCGTGTTGGAGCGGATTTTGAGTTCTGTGAGCTGCTGTAGACTGATTCGGGTAGGCTTCGACCCTTCAAAATGGGAGGTGCTGTACACAGTTCTTCTCGGAGTTGACGGTTCTGATATGGAAGTAGCACTCGCAGGCGACTTTCGTTTCTTTGGAGTTGACATGTTGGCGCCCACAATTTTCATTTCACAATCGGAATCCACAACTTCTGCCAAGTCTTCATTGTCCTTCTGCGCAGCAACGTCCAGGATGGGGCGTGTCTTTGCAAGTGCAGTTTGGAGATCCATGACGATCTTGTTCCACTGCTCTTGCAGCGGCTTTCGCTGCGAAGGACCATTCTCGATGCCGGGTGTTCCATCGAACAGTTCATGGATTTTCCGTTCAAGATCCGAGGTTTTGCCCCACAGGATCCGCTGCACATCTTCAGTAGGAGGATTGGGCAATGTTTGAAGTTCTTCATCAATAGCTTTTGACTTTCCGTCAATCTGCGCAATTATCGACGGCAAAGATCCTAAGATCTGGCGCATCAAAAGGTCAGACAATGCAGTTTGAAGCTGTGTGGTACCGAATCGGTCATGGAAAGCGGCGAGATCCCGTGTCCACAGTGAAGAACCGAAGAATATCTCCTCCTCCTTCCTAGCTTGGGTATGGCTGACAAGTGGATCAGGATTGTTTCGAATGACGTAATAACCGTGACCAAGCTTGAACTTGCTGCCATCCAAGATTTCATGCCATTGATCAAATGCTTCGTCGGGGGGATGGCGATCAGGCTTGGTCAGGACTCCAAGGGTACGTTCCTTTGCGCCCTTAATGTCCCTAACAAGACGAGCAGCACTGGAATTGGTTGCATCGCCTGTCATGGGCATTGTGAGAAGCACAATGCAATGCTCCTGAGAAACATAATCCTTGACCAAGTTCTCGACCAGATTCACCAGGTAACGTTCATTATCCTGTTCAGTCTGGCTAATCACTCCAGGCAGATCGTAGAAAGACAGATTTGGAAGACCAGAACCGGAGATGTCCAAGCGGACAGCATTTGGAGAAAATTTAACCTGGGGCGGCTGCTCCATGTCGGTCAGCCCGGGAAGGAAATCTTGCGAATTCGTGCTAGGGTTCAAAATTGCTAACTGGGCACACAAGATAGCCCCTTTGACATCCTGTTTATTGTCCAAGGTGATAAAATGTTCATCATCTTGGCCACCAAGGGCAATCCATGGTCCTAGTGGCTCTGACTTCTTGGGAATTTTCATCCGCTTCGAGGGATCGAAGACGTAGCGGCGTGACAAGTGGATCATGCATTTCCAGTTGTCATCGCTTTCGGAAAGATTGATTTCCAGGGGGCATCGAGTGCAAGTTCCTTCCGATCTAGGCACCTTGATCTCGGAAATGCCCTCGATAAGGGAGCTTTTTCCGGTGCTCTGGTCACCCACGACACATATCTTCGGAAGCATGATCTTGCTGTCCTCGATTCCCAAGTGGCTGAGGTCTTGAATCTTTTTCACCAAGTTTTTCATGTCCATGGTGAGGTTATCTAGAGAGGAAGCGGGAATTGGGTGAGCGGAAGTGATATCAGGTAGGCCATGAGAGACTGGCGCAGCCAAGCCAGCTATAGGAATTGGGTGACTGATTAGCGAGAGGATTGTCTTTGTCAAGAGACTGGACTCACAAACTGCCGAACTGGGTTCCAACTTGGGAACTCGCTCATACAAGCCTGACATCATGGAAGATCAGGTCTGGGAGAGTGACTGTTAATCACAAGTGGGAAGACAGGAGGCAGGAAGTGGTGCCCAAGATCGCTGGGTATACCCTTAGGCGAAGTGGGAGATGCCAGGAGATACAAATGCAAAACAAACCGAGGATGCTAATGAGGGTGCAAATCGAGACAGGCGCGATGATCAAGACAACGTTGGCGGAAAGAGTGAAAGTTACCACAGGTAAAGGGGGGATGTCAGAGAAGGGAATGACAATCAAAGGGCAAAACTCGAAGACAGAGAAAGACTGGCGTCAGCAGACAAGGGGAGGGTTGAGACCGAGGTCAAGCAGAAAGACAGGATCGAGCTCGAGAAGATAAATAAACGAGGAAAGATGAAAGATCACCAGACAGGAAAGAACGCGAGGAGGATGTTGTGTAGAAAAGAGCAAGCAGAATGATTGCCCAGGTAGGATATTATGTGAGAAAGGAAAGGATGGATGAGGTTGTCACCTTCACGAGGTGGCCTAAAAGTGCTACTGATTGAAATAATCTTCTAAGGTTCTTCTGAAAGTGTATATCATTCATCTTCCAAGTCCATTGCATCTAACTCGTTCTCCACCGCCTTATCGGCAATGAGTTTCTCAATGCTGTGGTCTACCCCATGAACTCGCAACAGGTAGGGCAGCAGAAGTTTGGTTTGGCGGTAGGGTTCATCCCCTAACTCGTCTTTACCTGCCCACTCTTGCCATGTCAGCTCTTTTGGCCTTCGTGGGTTGTTGTGCTTATCGGTAAAGACTCTATTCGCACTCAGGCCGGTCTTGTCTTCCATCTTGGCTTTCTTGAGCGAATATACGCGTCGTACTTCATAACAGTTCCCACAAGTTATGCGATCGAGGGTCAGGGTGCTATCCTTGAGACGATCGAGCAAGGTTGGACCGAGCGTAGTCCAAATCTTTGCATAAAGACAGTGGCAATCTTCGCACGTGATTTCCAAATCTTCTAGGTGACTGGTGGTGATCCCGAAACATCCATAATCTCGGCTATTCACATGACACAGACTGCATATCCATTCTTTCAACAACGGGTGCCAGTGGCGTGTAAATCTCCACTCTTTGTTGGAAAGTGGATTGTGATTCTGCTTCTGGAAGCGGCGATGACAGTGCCAACAGTCGCTCCTGTCCCTTTGCTTTCTGAAATACTCGTCCGAGTTCCTCTCTTCCCAACACGACAAGCACATGGTTGCGGTCTTCCAAGCAGGTAGGTTAGACAGTCCACATACCGAACATGTACAGTTTGCGTAATTGTTCTTCTTGGCTTCCTTGTTGATGTCTCTGTTGTTTTGCATGGCACAAACTGAGCACCAATAGTCCCCAGTCTTTTGTCCACTCGCATCGTAGGCATAGTGCCAGTGCCCTTTGATCTCTGTTGCCCCACAGCGTATGCACTTCTTCTTTTCTTTCTTCATTGGTCGATCAACTCTGTGCTTCCGCCAGTAAGCACTGCAGGACGAACAGACCACATGGTCCTTATCCCTCCAGTGCCAACACCATGTAACAGATTCGGTCACTGCACAATGGCTACATGGTCCGGCGGTGGGACTTGGACGGCGGCCGTTGAACAAAGCGGCCGGGCGATCGGAAGTGTGCTGAGAGCGATACACATAACAAGCCGCGCAATAGTATAACGGTTTCTCTTCGGTTCCGTTAGGGTGGCGATACCATGCGTTGGCTCCGGATTTTTTGGCAGCACAATGGTGACACACCCGTCGACCAGAAGTCTTTACGTCGCTTTGTTTTAGTGGCATTGCGTGGTTCAGGGGGTAGAAGACACTCAAAGGTATTTTGCACTGCTCAAGGGCCTCGAGATACATCTCCTGGGTGTAGCCAATGATTTCTCTGAGTTCAGGATCCTTGCATGGCGTGTAGATATCCAGTAAGAGTATAATCGCCTGCTCAAGCAGGCGAGCCATCCAATTGATGTCCATTCTTAGAAGGTCATCGAACATGTCTAACCTTTCTGGGAAAACACAAACCTGCCTGTAAGATGGCACAACTTTATTGATGTTGGCATAGCAGTACAGGACCATGACTGGCTTGCTATTAGGCTTGCTATTAGGCTTCCAACGACCATTGACTAACTTCACAGTGCTGGTACTCTTGAACAGCTTACGGTGGTCGACACACCGTTTCGAAACGCTTTTCAGGCTAGACCCTCCATATAGACCACTAGCAACCCAGCTCTGCTGATCCATGGTATCTGTTGAGTTGGTTGATTCTACACCAGAGAGTTGCGGCAACTCCCCACTTGTTTTCAAGAAGGCGATCAGATATACCCCCGGAAGATCGAGCGAGGTATCGACAATTGGCAACGCAAGAATATGTTCCGGTGTAAGTTCAGCAGACCCCAGTATTACTCTTGTGGATTCTGGGATGACATATTCAAATATCTCAAGAACTTCTTCGGGTGGGAATTTTCCAAGAGACTGGGCGAAGTCACCACCAATCCACCGTTTGCCTGATTTGCCAGATGCGATTTCATCCGCCTTCGCAGCCAAGAATTCCAAGATGCTGCCTAGCCTCTGGTTGAATCTAGCCAGGCAGACATCCTTGGATTCCTTATCGAGGTCAAGGGTGGTCCTCGGGAAATACTGGGCAAGGAGGGCTTTGCGCTCGTCATCTTTGTCCTCAGTGTCATTGTCTTCATTTTCTTCGTCATCTTCACTTTCCTCAAGGTCCGATTCAACAAGATCGTTTATGGAGTATAAATCAATGTACTCAGGGGAAGCAAGCGCATTGTCGTGAGAAGGGTCGTCGATTCCCGGGATCGACTCTGTGTCGTGATTCTCAGGGCTATGTTCAGAGTTGTTCTCTGAGTCGGTTGCAGAGCCGTTAGGTTCAGCATCAGTGGAGTCAGTGTCGTCTTCGGACATAAGAAACTCGGAACCAGAATCATGCGTCTCAGGGTAGTCTAGCATCTCATGATCTTCGTCCTCTGAAGCATACTCGGGCTGGCTGGGTGACATTGTGCTGTTGGAAGCCTACTTACATCGTATGGTTAGTTGCATTGATCAACATACAGGAGCCCAGATATTGTTGCGCTTCATGAGACAAGAGCTCAGTCCACAGTAAAAGACACAAAACATACCGTTGACATAACCTATTGTATAGGTTACTATAGGTGGGGATAAGGCAGAAGAAGAATCATTAAAGCTAGAAATACAGGGGTTTATATACTCTGTTAAATCATATAAACAAAGGCTCATTCTGTAGCAAGCAAGCAAATAGCAAACAAGCTAACAAACGCTCAGTCTGTAGCAAATAACAAACATGCATGCATGGGAAGAGTGTAACAAACCACAGCCAGAAGGTGTACGGAGTATGCAATTTGTGAATTGGAAAAAAGAAAAAGCGTGAGTGTGATCTCCTGGCATGAGGGAAGGAGTTACGTTGGTCTCGGCGCGTCAGGTTATGTGATTGAGGAAGGTGCGCTGATCTTATCATGGCTCAAAAGGGAAATAGGATGTTTTACTTCATTGACAAAAGTTATTCTTAGCTACGGAACTATCAAATTGATACCCGTACGGGCGACTAAGTATGCCACCGGCATCTCATTGCTTCATATTGCCAGCAGTAATTTAGATCTACCCTCACTTTACAAGCATAGAGACTTCTAAAGTAAATTGAATCTGAACTGAACCTGAACTGAACCTGAACTGAACCTGAACTGAACCTGAACTGAACCTGAACTGAACCTGAACTGAACCTGAACTAAGTCTGAATTGAAATGTGAATTGAAATATGAATTGAATTATATTGTATTATAGAGAGGGTAGTTGAAGAAGGAAGAATTCAAAATCATAGCTACATATGTTCAATGCAATAGGCATATCTAGGTGAATCTTTATAGGGTAGACTGTTATAGGTAGGTCACAGACGGTGAGGTAATAACATTTGCAGACTCTTTACGTCCCCGCAAAGAGAGGGACAGTGGATGGCACTTGGCTCCAGTGCACAAGAGAGCTACGAGGTCTCTTGATTAGCAATGACCTTGCTTCTTGCTCGGTGGAGATTTTTGATCCCATGGTTTTCACGCCGGTGAATACTATCCTGTTCTCTAAAAAGACAAAGTGTTCTAGGAATAGGAGCCTCTCCTAAAAGAACTTTTAGTTCGATTGGACCTAACTTTAATTCGATTCATTAGATGCTTCCGATCTATTGCTTTATCTTAAAACTATAATATTAGTAGCACTCTGGGGTGCTTCCTAAGTCTCAAACACTCATCCTCTGATGAGTGGAGGACCTTTGCTTTGACTTGCTGGCATGTGGTGGTGCCCCCCTTTGCTGGTGCCGGTGGCATACATATGTACTTAGTCGCCCGTATACCTGTCGAGGCGACTGCTTCCGATGATACAAACACCTGTCTATCTTTTGACCTGTTTTTATATTCCTTGTATCAGACTTCTGGGCTCCCAATGTTGGAAAAGTGCTAGTTAGCTGCCAAGCTCCGAGATAAGGAGTGTGAAAGGTCGCTTTGCCGAAAACCTCTGTATATGTGTGAGCTGCAGCTGGACAGATTCCATATTATTCTCTCCAGATTTCTGATCATAACTATAGGAATGAATATTGTTTGTTCTTACCCTTGACCCAAGCCCTAACTGCCGGACGTGTTGTTTAGGAACACACCGCCAATGAACGCCGCCAATGAAAGTCTCTCTCATTGGATACTGCCTTACCGCCTATTTAATCACCGCGTTCTTGAAGTTAGCCGGCAGAATCTACTTCTAGTCATAGGAAATCAACTCTTCTACAATAGAACACGTCAATATTTGGTGCTGATTTTCTAAGGCATGAAGGTTATTGACCTAGTAATCTAGGTATTCAGACATCTTCAGGCTTCAATGTTTCTCATAACTACATACAACATAATTCGTTTTTGTAAAGTGAAAGTGGATCGAAATTACTGCCAGGCAATATTAACCAATAAGAGAGTTATGTATCCGTGGTCCTCTTAGTCGCCCGTACACGTCATTACAGTTATCAGGTCCCATTACTCCACAACTACTGGGATAGTCAGTATTGTTTTAAAAGAATGACTCTCAGTAAATGGTAGATATACTGTAGATATCTTCTAGTATGTATTAAAACAAATCTATCTAGAACTCACATAATCACATAAATTGTAGTGAGACCGAAAGGAGTAAAATGTTGTCAGCTGCCCCACCGAAAGCGTCTTCTTGGCGTTTTTGGGAGCTTCAGGATCTCTCTGGCCTTTTGAGTTCTTGTGATTCTAGTCCTCACATCTCTTTGCATACCGTCATGCTTAATATACCAATGCGTGAAAATCACAATACTCAGGCTTCCACCAAGGCCGTGATCTTGGTGAGTAATGGGATCATCGTGGTAAACAATAACTGACACTTTGTCCCACAGGTCGGAGGCCCCTCAAGAGGCACTCGGTTCCGCCCATTGTCCCTCGATGTCCCCAAGGTATGCATTTGCATCTCATTTGATCGTCCATATGGATATGCACTGGACACAAATTGACACTGCGATTCCCATAGCCCCTATTCGAAGTCGCCGGCCATCCCATCATCCACCACTGCCTGAAGGCGGTGGCCAAGGTCCCCGATGTTCGTGAAGTGATGTTGGTCGGATACTATGATGAGAGCGTATTCCGGGATTTCATCAAGGATGCCTCCAAGGAATACCCCCAGCTCCGCATCCTCTACCTGCGGGAGTACACAGCGTTGGGCACCGCAGGTGGGCTGTACCACTTCCGTGATGCGATCCTCAAGGGCAAGCCCGAGCGTCTACTCGTGCTGAACGCTGACGTCTGCTGCTCATTCCCGCTGGGCGAGATGATGCGACTATTTGAAGAGAAGGACGCCGAGGCTGTGATCCTCGGTACACGGGTTTCGAACGATACCGCAACGAACTTCGGATGCATTGTGTCCGATTCGCACACCAAGCGCGTGCTGCACTACGTCGAGAAGCCCGAGTCACACATCTCCAACCTGATTAACTGCGGTGTCTACCTCTTCGCTACAGAGTGCATCTTCCCCGCCATCCGCAGCGCCATCAAGCGCCGCACCACCCGCCCCCGCCTCCTCTCGTACCCCTCCTCCGATAACCTGGAGTCCTCCTTCGTCGCCAACGGAGACGACGAGGACGCTGAGAAGAGCGAGGTCCTCCGTCTGGAGCAAGACATCCTCTCTGACCTGGCTGACAGCAACCGCTTCTTCGTTCACGAAACCAAGGACTTCTGGCGCCAGATCAAGTCCGCCGGCTCTGCTGTGCCTGCCAACGCCCTGTACCTCCAAAAGGCATTCCAGGCCGAGTCGCCTGAACTCACGGGCCCCTCTGCCACCATCGTGCCTCCCGTCTACATCCACCCCACTGCCTCCGTTGACCCCACCGCCAAGCTCGGTCCTAACGTCTCGATCGGCCCACGTGTCGTCGTCGGCGCCGGTGCCCGTATCAAGGACTCCATTGTCCTTGAGGACTCCGAAATCCGCCACGACGCCTGCGTCATGCACTCAATCATCGGCTGGAGCAGCCGTGTCGGTGCCTGGGCTCGCGTGGAAGGTACACCCATCCCCGTGGGCAGCCACTCCACCAGCATTGTGAAGCAGGGTATCAAGGTGCAAAGCATCACCATTCTTGGAAAGGAGTGTGGTGTTGGCGATGAGGTCCGGGTGCAGAACTGCGTGTGTCTGCCTTACAAGGAGCTTAAGCGGGTATGTTTTCCCCCTGTGTTTTCTATATGCGATTGACTAATGTTCTCTCTAGGATGTGTCCAACGAAGTCATTATGTAAACTGAGCTTTGGTCATCTTTGGTCGAAAACTACCGCCCTGATCTTCTCGTTGATACGGCTTCATTGTCGGGTTTGTCTCTCATCTCATCTTATCTTCTGGTTGGATGGTTATTTGCTTCGTGAGCGCAGCCGATCTAAGGATCTTTTTGTTTTAATCTATCTAGAACGAACCCCAAATGAAATAGTCGTTGGATTTCACGTATTCTCGCATCGATATCTGGTATATCTGCCCGGTTTTATTTTCCTATAAACATCACATATCCCAGTAATTGATCCCCCGAGCAACGCCGTCATGCAGATTTCGTGTCTTCAATCCAAAACACCCGAATATAAACCTTGAGATACAACCCCAGATGAATATGGTAAAATTTCGCTACCATCACCAAATCAAAGAAAAAACAAAATAGAAATAACCCCCAAATACAAAACAATCCCTCAGCGATACATAGCAGGGTCATACCCCGTATTCTGCGCCGGCCTCTGATGCCCATCCTCACCAAAAGCACTAAACCGCACCCTAGGCGCACCACGACGACTCACCCCAGACGCAGTATCATAATAATTCTGCGCCTCGCCAGCATGCGCATGGTGCATATTCTGCTCATAACCCGAATGTTCCTGACCATGCGCCCCCGACATCGCAGGGGGCACATTATCATAATCGTGCAAAGCAGGCGTGGATTCGCTGTGACGATCATCCATCTTGACGTCGAATGCGCCCGAGTCATCCAGACCCGGGTGCGAGCCCATGGGATCGTAAGCGCCGAGACGGGTCTGACGCCGACGCACAATCACATCCAGCCAGACTGCGGCGATGTAGCTGATCAGGCCGATGATGGTGAATGTGAAGAGGGCTTTGTAGATTCGGCAGACGGCCATGCCGGTCGAGTTGCCCCAGTAGGTTGTTGTGCATGATGTTGTTATTGTGCTTGATAGGCTCCAGCTTAGGAGGCCTAGGGATAGGGCCCAGAGGATTGTTAGGAGGATGTTGAGGGAGATGGAGAGTTTTGTTGATAGACTGCAGCTGCAGTGGATTATTGAGGTTAGGATTATGTTGAGGAGGGAGAGGCCTGATGAGACGAAGAGCTGTGGGGAGGTTTTTTGTTAGTTTTTATTTGGGGAGACATGGTGACTTGGTTTATTTGAATGGTTACTTATTACTTACCACCAGGAATGAATATGGTAGTTTGAAGCCATCGGCATGGAGGTGGTAGGTAAACACTGCCAAGATCACGCCTACGACGAGTGAGGAGAGGGAGATCAGGAAGCGGATTAGATGAAAGGGCACTGGCGGGTATGCCGAGGGTTTGACTGAAGGTGATCGCATGGCGAAATGGGGGAAAATGTGAAGATGAAGAGAAATCAACAAGAGGAAGCCCCTACCTAAAGGTCAACATCTTCATGATCGGCGCTCCACTTTGACACGTTTGGGCGTGCGTCATGGCGCTATTTTTATATTTTCATCGCTTTGTATCTTCGTATACGGAGTACAGAGTACAGAGTATAGAGGAATTGTCTCAGATTTCAGAATTTAGATTAAATTGTGGATGTAGGAGATCGATCGAGATCAACTTCAATGTCCTTATGTTGTACTTTAATAGTCCAAATCCTCTATCAGTCAATACTTTAGAACCATCCACTTCACCCCAACATCCAGAAATACAACATACTAAATATCTGCTAGCGCAAGGTCAAAGTCCCCCGGTCTGCATGTGTCGTATCATTTACTCCGTAGACCCCAGACGACTAGTTAAATGCCGTCCCACATCTGCCGTTCGGCTCCATCGAGCTCCACATAACAGTCGTTGACAGGGGCAACTAGGCCGACATCCTACACCCTAAATCATCCATCAAAATTGTTCAAAATTGTTCAAAATTAACCAGAGTCATCATAACTGAGGGATATCCAACTCTGGAAACCGTGCAAGAAGGGGTGTGATGTCAATCCCGTAGCCTAGTCTGGCACAAGGACTCAAATACCCCGTACCTCTACGCACGCCGGTCTTCATCTTAAATGCACAAGCTAGTGCTGATGAGCTATCTGTGTATACTTAGAAGCTTCAAGAATAAGCAATATCTCTGATCATATATAGCAAAGTCCTCTACAGGCCATAAGCCGCCGACTATTCTTGTATAATATGACTCTATAACTATCCTTTTCAGGTTTCCTTATCAATAATGATACAGAACTATGTATTGATTTTCGAATGTACAGCGAAGGGGTGTTCTAAATATATTTCTGGGCATAACCCATGAATATATATATATATAGGAACGACAGTTTCCCAAATCTCCCAAAAGAATCAGAACTATCTATTTCCCTCGCAATTACTAAAATGAGCATTATTTGATGCTCAATATCTCTCAACCTGGACCTTCTAAGAGCTTGTATAGTGACGAACCAATCAGAACAGCCGCGCCGCGTTATCGACTCTCTGCCTTCGGGGAACTTCATTATAAAAACAACCTACACCACCTCCACCCAAAATCTGCATTTCCCTTTCACAGCTCTATCTTGTGCAACGGGAGCAAACAATTTCATTGTTGCCACAACACACGGGCTTTCCCCGCCCATATTCCTCACAAAAAAAGCTCGACCGAAAGCTTGAGACTCGTCCATCCCCCACCATGTCGACCTACGAAAGTACGAATCCTCATCACTAAAATGAAACCCGAATCCCTCAAGCTAACATTATTCCAGTCGAACACAATACCACCGACCCATCAACGGCCCCCAGCGCGCGCCGTCGCCGCCCCGACCTCTCCACCTTCTTCTCAACCCTGTCCCAGATCACTCCAGCTCCCGACCACAGACCCCATGCAGTCCCAGTGCCAGGAGATGTGAGCGCAGCATTCTTCTCTCTCGCCGAGGCGTTGGATATGATGCGCCGCGAGGCCGATACCGCGCCGCGCCCCGACGCGCAGGAGGGCACCGATACCGCCGACTCAGATACCGGTCACGATCTGTTGACCACGATGATTCATTCGTTACTCGCGCAGGCAGATACACCGCCGCGGGAGGTGGAGGGCGTTGATGAGGAATTCTGCGATAGTAAGAAACACTCCCCTAGCTCGCTGTGTCATCAATTTCCCCCGCACTCAGCGGGGCATTCCAATGTTCCTTTGTCGTTTATGTAACTAACCACGCTTAAACCTCTCTAGTGCTCGAACGCGTCCCAAAAGCATCCCTCAAACCCGATGATACATGCCCTATTTGCAACAACCCCTTCGTGGAAGATCCATACCCGCTCATCGTCCAGCTGCCCTGCCACCCGACACACCGCTTCGATATGGAGTGTGTGCGGCCCTGGCTGCGGCTGCGCGGGACGTGTCCACTTGACCGTGTGGACTTTGCGAAGCAGTTGAGGGATAAGGCAGAGGCGAAGAAGAAGCTTGTTGAGGAAGATGAGGAGGAGGAATGGGATGGCATGTATGGCTGAAGAGATCTGAGCTGAGACTATGCAGACCCTTACATTTTAAGCTATCTACTGTGGAGATTAAAAGTATTTCCTATCTTAGCATGAGTGAATGACTGTTGCATCTATCGATCATGTACATTCGAACCAAATGGATATTGAAAGTATGGTACTTGAACAAGAGAACCCAACATAAATAGTGTGAAAAGATGTCTAAAGAAGGACAACTGGTGTTTTTCGGTATAGAATCTAGGCATTTTAGATTCAGAACTGCATTGGCACCTACATTTCAAGTCAATATCCCGGGACTTTTCCGGAGATGCACACCTCGATGATATCCAGTCCTTTGTCTCGTCATTGGCTTTCATACATGTAATCTAATTATTAAACCTACTTGAAAGACCTTTGTCCTCTCTTTGATCAATTTTTTGGGCAGTTTGATTCCTGTCTTTGTCTAACAAAGGGCATACAAGTTCATTGTTAATCCGAAATCCTCGAGGATCTTCCCACTGTCCACATATAAATACCAAGTCTCCAAGCCCTGATTTTGACATAATTCATCATTCCACATCATATCTTTTCTACTACACATCTCTCATCTCATCTTTCTCTATACTTGGACTGAATCACAGACAGTGATATCACCTTCGGAGTATCACACACATCATCAGGGTATTTTCTCCTCCCATTCTCCCTGTGCAACTATATCTATTCGCTTACTCCCCAGGTTACCATTACCACATTTATTATACACCTCAGCCACATCTGGCAATCCAGATACTTACATAATTGTACGCATCCCAGCCCATCAACCAAAATGTCTACCACTATGGAGACCCTCGCACTCGTTTTCTTTTGTCTTCTACTGGGAATAACCATCATGATAATCATGATTCTTGTCAAGGAGTGGACAGAGTATCAAGCTACGCTGTTTTGGCCGAAACTGCGTAGTTCTCGCACTCTCGATCTGGAATCGGGCCTGAATATACTTGGGGAAGTCAAGGAACTGGCATGGCGCATCGAGCAGATGGAAGCTGACATTGGTACCAATCTCAGCCTTGCTGGATACTTGATTGAAGAACAATACCATGATCACTCCTCAACTCCTTGATCGCTTTTCCATCTTGTCAGTACACAAGTATACCTTCCGATAACAGACGCAAGACACGAAGTCCGATCTCCATCTGGATGCCTCCTATGCGTAGGGATAGTGCATGAGATGTTCGGGCCTAGTGCGTTGTCCCAGTTCTCTGCCCTATACTCCCATGTCTTTCGAGGCGGCTCACCTTGATGGAACTGGAGTGGGTGGGGTTATTATTGTTTTATGTCCCGGATAGCACTAAGGTGCAGTACCGGTAGTTAGTTAATCATCTTTTGATGATGATGCTAGAAGAGTTTGAATTGCCTATGGTGGATATGTTTGTGTTCAACTGATATCTGCCATAGGTTCTGTTATTGTTTATCTTAGTTTTGGAGGTGTCTATGAAGACGCTGTGGAAAGGACGGAGAGAAGGATTATACCTACATAGGATATAGGTATATAGCTGACTTCAACCAACTCAATATCTGTAGTGCTGGTAAAAAGGTCGGATAAAGAAAGCTGCTGAAATAACCGGCTAGACATCAATTAAAATGTATGACTACCTTGCTGGTCAATGGTAGAAAATAATTTGCTAAACTTGGAAATGTGTATCGATTTAGTCAACTAGTACTTCGAATAATCTTGTAGACTTGATCTTTTCTCTGTATGTTGTAGAGGCCAGGACGATCTGCAGGCAGAAAATCAGATGTTCAGACACTAGCCAGTGTAGATCCACCTTCTTTTGGAAACACCTAGGTCGCTATACGTACCGGGCTTTCCTATCTTAGCTGCCGCCGCTTTTATGAGGGCGCTCAGAGTCAGGCTCTCTGAGTAAATTGCAGTCCGGGCTCAGACTCAGTGAGCCAGTGAGCCAGAACTTCTTCTTCCTTCGGAGCAACAAATCAGTTTATCTTCACGTGTTATCCCTGATGAGACGATGGATATAACAGTTATGGACTGTTTTGATGTGGACTTTGCGGTAGATGCCATCGGAGCGTCTGCCCGGGGTATTAGTTCTATCCTAGCACGTCTCCGCAAGAGTTTACGAATGTGCCACCAGATGTGGCAAAGCTGAAGCTCTCGAAAGGATGCCGAGTAATGTACAACCGAGATACCCGCAGTATGATCACTATACCGGGCCAGCCCCACGTATAGGCGACTAAGTAGTATGCCATCCGACACATAACTCTCTCATTGGTTTATATTGCCAGGCAATAATTTAGATCCACTCTCACTTCACAGGTATCATGTTGAATTGAATCTGGATTGAATCTGAAGTGAATCTGAATTGAATCTGAAGTGAATCTGAATTGAATCTGAAGTGAATCTGAAGTGAATCTGAAGTGAATCTGAAGTGAATCTGAAGTGAATCTGAAGTGAATCTGAAGTGAATCTGAACTGAATCTATAAAGTGCATAGTATAGAAATAGTAAATGCTTCCAGAAGGTAGTAATGAACTACCTAGGTAGGCAGTGAAGTAATAACCAATGAGAGAGTTATGTGTCGGATGGCATACTTAGTCGCCCGTACCCACGATGCCGTTACGGGTGAGTTCCATTCCCAATTCACCCTAGCGGCAAATCTTGTGGACATGAAAAACACGTTCTGGTCCCTTATAACAGCAAGAGTAGAAGGAACCATTTGCTCCAAAGAACCGGATGGATCATGGGTCCCCGAGAACCTTCCCCCAGGTCGAAGCGAAAAGTGGCCCTCACTTGTTCTAGAAGTTGGGGTCTCTGAGTCGAAGAAGAAGCTCCGAGCAGACGCCGACTGGTGGCTTGCGAACTCCGACGGACAAGTTCATGTTGTGATAATCATATCGATCAATCGGACTGTGGCTAGGGTCACATTTGAAACCATTGTGCTTGAGCAGCCACCAACATATATGCCCAACGGTCAGCGTCGGTACCGGACAGAGATCCGCCAGTCAATTGTGGTCTCCCGCGCACAGGGTGGCCCAGGCCAACCGATTACTACGGTGCCCAATACCTCACCACTCATAATTACCTTGGAAGAGGTGCTCTGCCGCCCCCCAAATGCCCCGGAGACCGACCCACTGATTCCTATTTCCTCCCTAGAGAGGATTGCAAGTGCTGCATGGCGTTGGCAAGGCCTCTGAGTGTCTCCTGTGTTTTTCGTTGTCTGTCATTCTTCCGGGGAGCATTGCGAGTGCCCTATGGAGTTCTAAGGTTGGGAAAGCTTTCCAAGTTACTTCGCTTATTTTTCCTTTTCCTTTTTGCTCTTTTGCATATGTTAGTATGCACTCACTGTATATCGTTAACTCATGGCTCATCGGGATGAATGGTCACAGTGATGATGCCAGGCCTTTTTTGATGGGACGATGGGGGCCATCTAAAAGTGGAGGGTTGCACGTGATGGGACTTGCGTGTTGCATTTTATTGATGTAGCTTACTCAGGCCACTCACCCCTGGGCTCAGCTCAGGCTCAGTGAGCGGATCAGAGCGCTCAGGGTCGTGCTCAGATCTACCCAGTGAGCAAAAAGCGGCAAGGTCTGAGCACTAAAACGAAAAGGGAAGGCCAAGAAGTGGCAGAAGAAATCCGGTATGTAGGTAAGCGTGGATAGTTCTAACCACCATGCCCAGGTAGATATCTCTATAAACCATGGATCCTACAGGAGAAAAGAATTGTAATCGTTCAAAAATATCATTCAGAAAATTTCAGTCTACTCTATGTACAGTATTCGGTACAGAATTCATCACACATAACATCAATGTTTCATAAAACTTCCTCAGCCCGAGCCTTGGACCGGATGGCCAACTTACCTGCCTGATTGATCATCGCTTCGTAACCACTCCGCTCCAGCACGCCGCCGTCCTTGTTGACAACCTCACGAGCCTCGAGTTCTTCAACAAGGCGCTGGTTCTCACGGTTACCCTCCAGCAAGAACTTCAGGCACATCACAGCATGCTCCTTGATGTACGGGTTGTGGGCGTCGAAAGCGGTGCAGCAAAGAATCGCCTCAACACCGCCATAACGGCGGATCTGCTCCTGGACATCAGGACACTTCCAGACAAGTGAGGAGAGCACAAGCACGACCAGCTTCTTGAGGTTGCGCCATTCGAACTCGGAGGGATCCTCTGTGATCGGAGGGGACCCGGGTCGAGAGTCGACGCTGCCGGCGCCAGTGTCGACGGGGTCTGGGTCGCTGGGATCATAAGGACGTTCGACGGCAACGGGGGCCGGGGGACTGGCGCTGGAGGCTTCGTTTGTGGTGTCGTTTCGGGGAGGAGGGGGAGGGGGCACGGAGCCAAAGGACAATTGGCTCAGCTGGCCCTTGGGGATGCTTGCTTCCAACTCCTTGATCAGTGTCACCAGGTCGTAGACGATCTCCCATTTAACCAGCAGGTTCTTCCAGTCATTGTTCTCGGTCAGCACGGCGAAGAACTCCAAGAACTGGTAGACACCTTCGTATACCCGTTCCATGTCCCATAGATTGAGCGGGAAGTCTTCCGAAAGAGCCCGGTCGGCGCGGATCTGACCTTGGAGGTAGATCAGAGCACAAGTCTCGGGGATGATGTTGCCACGGAAGATGGTGAAGATGTATCGGACAGTGAGAATATCAACTCGGTTCAGTGAACTTGGGTTGCGGGGAATGTTGGGTTGAGCGGAGCCCGTTACGGAAGCAGGGGAGTACTTGGCTCGGAAGATGTGGGTGAGGATCTTGATCACAACAGCCTGTGCCGGAGAGATGATGTCCTTGGGCTGACCGAAGTCTGAGTAGGCATGAGACATAAGGCCGTTCTTGAGCACGGCCTCCATGATCTGGACCATCATCTTGAAGTAAAGCTCATCATCGGGGAGATCCCATGCCGCAATGAAAATCAGTAGTTCGCGCAGTAGGTTACGTCCTGTCTCCTGCGTGAGCAGGATGTGACAGCGGAGCGCTTGCATATTCCTAGATCCATTCCGTTCGCCACCCTTGAGACCAAAGCTGTCCACAATACCGGCCTGGACAATCATAGGCAACGCTTCGATTTCTGCCGGTCCAAGAACCAGAGGGATATCTGTGAGAAGACCCCGCTGTTGGTCACCAGGACGGCCGCGGTATTCATCGTCTTCCTCTTCTTCGTCGTCGGCTTCTCCATCGACGCCATCGTCATCCACGTCATCTTCGCCATCTCCGTCAACACTTCCATCAGCCATGTGGTCTAGGCTGTGTGAATCGTCATCTCCCACCGTGTGTGCATCGCCGTGGTCATAATCGTGCTCTTCGTCGCCATCGATGTGTGATGGCTCCTGGAGCCGAGCCATGAGTTCGTCCTTGGCCTCTTGGAGAGTCTCGGCGGCAGACTGAGCTGACCGGGGCATACTGGTATCTTCGTCTGTAACAGGTCCATCCACGGCACCGAAATCGTTGATCTCTGGGAGATCGGCCCAGCAAAGACGAGGGAAACCAGCCGTGAGACTGCGGTCAATAGTCAGGATGGTCTTCTTCTTGGTGATTTCGTGTTCCTCTTCTTCCTCGTCATGTTCTCTGTGATCGTCATGCTCTTGTTCTTCGTGGTCTTCAGGCTCCTCGTGCTCTTCTTCGGGAAGCCCAGCCGGGAGCTCACGAGCCCGGTCCTGGAGATCAGACCAACCGTCAACCTTGGCCCCAAGTATCGCAGTCAAAGCAGCCCTGATATCTTTCACCTGATCTGGGTCTCTACCCATTTCCTGGATAGCGCTGAGGTCTCGGCCCAAAATCCTCTCCATGTGATCCTTAATGTTGGCCAGAAGTAGCATAGCAGCCTCTTCCTTGATAGTTGCCGGCTCCCGCGGAAACTTGGCGATAGTCTCCAATAGCAAGTCCTCCGCAGTTTGGTCGTAAAGCGCACGAATCGGCGGGTTGATGACGCGCTCTCCAACTTGCACAATGGGTGCCACTCCTTCTCGCGAGCTGGCATCGTCCAAAGGCTCCTTTGGTTTTATGATGTTCGTATCAGCGGTCGAGTGGTAACCAAACAAATCCAACCAAAGCACCATCTTGCGATGCTCGTTGTGCATAATGAAGTTATGAAGGTACTGGAGGCACGTAATTAGAAGGCGCTTGTAGAGGTTGACGACTTTCTGCCATCGTTCTTCGTTCCGCGCATTTTGCTCGCCATCAAAGCCTCGAGCGGTGACCCGCACACAGGTGTCAATGAGGGCTAAAATTCTTTGGTCAAATCCTGTTTCCGCCGCAAGGTTCTGTGCTTTCTTGGTTGTGGCGAGGAGGTTGCGCGCAATTGTACACAGATCATTCAAGCGCTCAATATCTTTGACCAGCGAGAAATAATTGTATGCGATCAGATTGGCAGATGAATGTTCATAGCTTGCTGCGGGGCTTTTCCACGCGAAAGATTGGGACTCGAGGACGGGGATTGCTTTGGTGAGGACGTTCGTGAGGCCTTGCCAGATATCCGGCGACATGCCGAGATTGTGACTGGTAAGGCGCAATATATTAGTATACAAGTCACGCGAAGGTTCAATTATAATTATCTTACCGAACATCGCTCTCCTGGTGTGTCTTGTACAGGATCTGCTTCCCAGCGGCAAGCATGTGCTCCAAGCGCTTGTCATCGATCATGCCCCGAACTTCGTAGTGGCTCAGGGTCCCTGCAAGGATTACCTTGAGCATGAGCTCAGCTGGTGTGCATAGTGGCTTTGGATCTGCCATCTTGCAAAGAAGATCCCTAGAAAGCGTATTTCTTATGGTAAACAGCGGGGAAAGTCAAGAGTGGGATGGGAGAGTCAAAGATTCGGAGGTGTGGAGAGACGAATTTTCCGCCCGCATGGTGTTATCGTTATCGCTCAGGGCTATTCCGCCTCAAAGAGAAAGTTGACTTACAACATACAAACACATGTCAAAACATGTCTCTTATCCTACTTGCTACTATTTATCACCCCAGACGTTCATATCGCGAAATAAAGTATTACCCAATTTTGAAGCAATAGTTATATCATTCACATTGATGATCAAGGCCTCATAATCCTTATGAGGGGCTTTATAGCCCTTGTAGCTAGCCATATTTTAGACATTCCTTTGAAGCAAACTTCCAAACTCAACATGGATGTTATTTATAAAGAGCTTAAAAACTGGATATCTCCTTAGGTCGACGAACAGATAATCCCATCACGTCCCGAAGATTATACCAGAAGCCCATATCGTAGATGTTGTCAACATCTCTCATAGTGTGGAGTCGCTTCCATCGAGGGTCGGGAGGCATGTCTGATTCCGGGCGATGAGCAATGCAATTGGAGTCGTTGGCCAGTAAACATCCTTCAGTTGGAGGACCCTCATCAGTAACAAGGATTTGATCCGTATGCACAGGCCACAGTTGATCATATAGATCCATGGGAAGAGGGCGGTCGAAGATGAGACTTCTTTTTGTCTTGAATACAAAGCCGTCTTCCACATCCTCTTTCCAATCGGACCACTTAGCGCTCTCATTGGTTGTCACCCCAGCCCAGATGAGATATGTATGGTACGCCAGGAAAGATATTGCGAGCGGGGCAGTCATAAGCATCAGTAGGAATACTGCCCCAATCCTGGGATAAGCAGAGACCATAATACCCCATGTATTGATCCAGACTGTCCAGCCTTGCATAGCCTCCTGTGTCTCCGGCGGAACCACTTGCCTCAACATCTCAGAGAGTATGGAATGGCCAAGGTAGCAGCCGTAGATCAACATGGCAGAAAGGGAGACCAAGAGCGAGACGAAGTACACGCAGTTGTTGGCCCCGACACAGTTCATCAGCCAGACGCAATGGTGGTCGTGTCGAGAAATGCAGGCCTGACAGAAGTTGCAATGCTTGCTGCGCGCTGGCTTGAGGAACTTGCAAGTGTGACATTCATGTCCCGGATGAAAAAGGACTCGGTCGTACGGGTAACGTCTCATCTCTTCCTCATGATTCTCAGCTGTGATAAATGACTTGGTCACAACACACTTATAGAGCAGGAAATATGGCAAGGTGATAGCTACAGGTACCCAGAGGCGATGAATGCTCGAAAGCTGAGGCCATGCGGCCGGGACAAAGATGCCTTCTCCAATGACCAGCAGCGAGGTAAAGAAGATCTAGTATGTATGGTCAGTATCTAGATAAGTAATAATAAATTTTTAGACTTACCAGAACAAGCGGGTGGTTCTCCTTCAGTACATAGCTGCCAGATCGATTCCAGCCTCGTACTACCCTCCCGCCGAATAAACGATCATCGACAGCGGCAATTCCATTCGGAAAGTACACCCACAGTACCCGATGTAGCCAAGCGACCGGAGTTTTCCTTGAGAAGTCAGCGCAGAGCTACAAAGTCTTGTAAGTTGGCAAATTGCTTACCGGAAAGCTGGCAGCCTGCCAAATAGCGCAATAAAGGTGAACGCCGAGATCGCTAGAATCACTAGACCAACGGTTCTGAGGGCCCCCATTTCTGAAGCTTAAGTTCTTTCGGTAAGTCCAAAGGATATACTGTTATCTCTGCATCCCCCAGCAATATTATTCACGGTTCCCGCATTCCTTGAGTCGTGATCAGTCAACACGTTTTCGTCGCAAATCGTGAGTTTGTTATACGACACGTGACCGCGTTTTTCATCCTCGGCGTCAACCAATTATTTCATCTATGACCCCTGTCGATTGAGACTACCGGAATCTCATATGATCGAGTTCAAGAATTGACAATTGAGTCACCGATACAACACCTGTCTTGCACCATAGCCCGCTGTTGAATGGGAAAAAGCCCCCTTGCGACACGTCAACACGTGATACCGCGTCAAACAAAGCCGGCTTACTTCAGGGTGAAAGCCTAAAGAAAAGTGTTTGAACTTGGGATTTGAAGAGTTGAAATGGCGACTTCTACAAATGACTCGTCCTCGTCACGGGCTCAGACTACGGCGATGAATCTATTCCAAGGTGCACGATTCTGGCTATCTCTAACTGTTCCACAAAGGCAGAGGTTCAAAGAATTAATCAAGGTATTTCGGGAATGTTCATCTTGTTTCAGAATTACAGAGGTTAATGAATATATAGCAATATGGTGGCACCGTTGTGCTGATGGAGAAGGACGCGGATGTGAAGCTAGTGGACCACACGAGGAAAGACCTGCCTAGTGACACGTACGGAATACTGAACTCTTCAATGACTCAAGATCAGTGTACTAATTTAATAATAGTTTCTCATATCAATATGTCGAGCGTTCTATCAATAAAGGACGACTCGAAGATCTAGAAGCCCATCGGGCTGGGCCATCTGCACCTCGTCCAATGGGTGCATCCAATATTCCCACAAAAAGCACAAGAGCGTTCTTTACCTTGAAGGAGGATCAAATCTTGTTTGACTGGGTCGAACACTTTGGACAGGAGGCCGGGGCGCCTGTCCAAGGCAATATAATTTATCAGAATTTAAGCGAACTGGTATGCTGTCCGGTTTCTGTCAAGTCCACAGAACACACACATAGCAATCCGATACTAACTAGCAAAACACAGTTTCCCAGTCACCCATGGCAGTCCTGGCGTAGTAGATACACGAAGCATCTGCGTGGCAAGGGCCGTCCAGGGGGTGGCACTCCATTATCATATGACGACCTTTTAGAGTCTGCACCATCCCGAGGAGAACGCCCGAAGACCTTACCTGCCCGAACTTCACCAAAGGATTACACGGCGAAATCAAGTTCAAAGGTTCCCCAGATGGAACCACCTGCCCCGGTCCAGGCAAGTACACTAAGCAGCCCAAAACGAAAACGAGATCCGGTCCCTGAACCGCCGAGTCAACGGCGGAGGGATGTTTCACCTATGAAAAGAAGAGCAATCGAAGCTTCTGCAACTCCGGGCCCTTCATCACGCCGTCCCCGTCCTATTATCCGGGGACCCCAACCAGAGTCATCAAGCGTGGCAGCAACGCCACCATTTACCGCACGGCCAGAAAGAGGCTCTCCCAGTGTCTCGTCAGATACAGGACCGCTTCAAGGCCTTGGGATTCCAGATCTCTTTCCAGCACCGAACCCTTCTTTACAAACCCCCCACCGTGTCACTCGGGAGACTTCAAAACGACCAGCAAATGTAACAGAACCGCCAGCGCCGCCGGTCCCACCGCGACCATTGGGAGACAATGCCTTCGCGCAGTCTGGCCGATTCAAGAAACAAGTACCAAATCCGAGACCACCAGTCACCGATATCTTCGAAGATCCAGTGGACCCCATGTTCCTACAACTCCCATTCTTGCCATCAAGCCCAGAATCCGAGGTGGCCGACGATGAAACGTCAGATGTGCCCGACGTCGATACTTGGATTGATCAACGCCTGGCTTTAGGTGCCAAAGAATCCCACGTGTTCGATGCTCTGCGATGTACAAGCATGGTCCCAGAGATGGCAGATAAAGTTCTGAAATATCTCACTTCTGGGGAGGGGATCCCCGATGATATGCCTGGGGTCTGGACAGCCGAGGATGATATCTGTTTACAAGCGGGGGAATATGCACGTGTGCAACGAGCGTTGACGAAACACGGCGCAGAAGCGTACAAAGATAGATGGGAATATTTCAGCATGGCCCGGCAGACAGGACTCATTGAATGATATCCACGGGATGTGGAATTCGAGAAATTGCACCGCTACAATGGACGAGTTGCAATTGTGAAGTCAATGAACATTAGCTAGAAACGAAATACTCCCCGAACACACCGGTATTGACATGACCTGTTGACCTGCCAGAACGCAAAAAGGAAATCGGAAGTCAAAACTAAAATCAATGTAAGGGCAGCAGTGCCATGCTCAAAATGCGTTAGTAGTAGTAGCCAAGGAGCATTTTAACGATGGCCACTCGTTATAGCACATCCGACATTGAAGAAATGGCCTAGAAATATCACGCTTGTGTACCACTTTTCGAGTTGGTGATATGTCGAGTTGTCGGTGAACAGGATCAATTATCCTTAAAGACACTATGAGTGATGTTAGGAACGTATTTCGAGCTTTCATTTGGTGGACATAACTCACAGGTGCGATTCGTAAAATTTGAGCATCTAGTTTGGTGGTCAGTGGTCAGTGGCCTTGTCGCTGTCTTTCGGCACGGTGGAGGAGGACATACTTTCAGAGGACACTTTTCATAGCAGGCCTGTACAGACAGTTTCGCCTTGTGTCCGTTATTGAACTCGAGCCAGGCCATAAGACCCGCATCGCCCTCCCGGACAATTGTGTCCACCTCTTTCACATCCTTATCCCAGTTCTTCCCCTTTGGAAGCCATGAAACGCCATTTTCGTCGGACGAGGGGGAAGCTTGCTTGGACGTTTCTTTCGGCGCTGACTTTCGGCGCTGTCTCTTGGCTTCGGTCGCTGCGGGGGCCGGAGTCTTAGCAGCCTTCGAATCGCCCATAGATTTGCGCTTGCGACCTGGCTTTGCTGCCGCGGGCTTCTCTCCGTCCTTCTTCGGGCGGCCACCGATCTTCTTGTAGTAAGCTGTGACAATGTCGCCGGCTCCATCCCTATGGTATTTGTCAATAAATGCGCGTAGCAGATGTCAAAACTGAGCCGGTGCGTAGACGTACAAGAGACCCTCCTCCTCTTCCCATGTGTGGTCTTCGAGCTTGTCGTAGCCTTTCCATTTCACCAAGAGTTTGAGCGTTCCCTATGATTGATTAGCTTCTCGGCGCAATCAGGCAGAGTGTTGTGAACATACATCATCAAGCCAATCGTGTTGAATAATATCCTCGACAACGTAACTGCATTCAGTTAGAAACATGTATCCATCAGTCGGCCGGGATGCGCAACTCACAGTCCCTCTTCCTCGTCGTCCTCCTCTTCGTCTCCATCGTCTCCTTCGTCTTCCGGGGACTCCTGGTCGTCTTTGCCATTTGACTCTGGAGCATTTCTGAAAGGAATATCGCCGGTCTCCTCGTCGGACATATCTTCAACGGGAGCTGGGTAGTAAACGGGTCAGCCGAGATGCTCACCATTGCGCGCGCGACATGTCAACATCGGGGGAAACACTCACGAGGCATGGTTCGGTTGAAAGGTGAGATGAGGCTAGATAGTTTAGAAAACAGATTGGCGACTGGAGGATTAAAGACTCAATTGCAATTGTAAATTCAGACGAAAGGCTGTCGCATCCAGAGCAATTGGAGTAGTCAAGAAGCAGAAACGCGTTGAAGGCGGACAAGATACGCTATACCGCTTTGGGCAGTCAGAATTTCATTTGTCAAAAGTGCATTTCGGGAAGCTCCCCCTCAAGGCTCAACTTGCAAGTTCACTGCTTTGTCTTTTGTTCACTTGTTCTTGATTATCTCTTGGTCTCCTTGTCGGTGCCCTCTTTTTAAAAACTTTTTATATTTTGCCCAGGTGGCAGCCCACCGTCAACATGGCAATGCGTAAGGCCGCACCCCCATACCCCTCATTCTTGAAATGTGCTTTGGCTAACTATGTGGATTTTGATCTTCAACAGAGCTTGATATGTCCCAGGGTGATTACCCCTCGAATAACTTGGTACAAATCGGATTCGGTAGCTGACATTAAGGGGTAGCTTCGGTCTTGAAGGACGAGCAGGGACGGCCGTTTATTGTCGTTCGCGAGTACGTTCACCGCTATGCCTTATCCCCCGCTTCAAAATACCATTGGGAGTTGGGGCTGGTTGGTTGAGGTTGGGGCTGACGGGTCTTTTTTTATACAACAGTCAGGGAAAGAAGAAGAGACAACATGGCACCGAGGCCGTTAAGTCACACATTGTTGCCGCCAAGACGGTGGCCAGTATTGTCAAGTCTTCTCTGGTATGTCACTCGACAAGCAATGAATGGAAAGACATCTGACTCTTGTTTTTAGGGTCCCCGTGGTCTTGATAAGATTCTGATCTCCGCCGATGGCGATATCACCGTCACCAATGACGGCGCAACTATTCTTGGACAGGTTCGACCCCGAAGTCCTTTTCCCCCGGAGAGATCCAATTCAAGTTCGAGAGACTGATACGGTGGCTATGGTTAGATGGAGATCACAAACAATGTCGCGAAGCTGCTGGTCGAACTTTCGCAGTCTCAGGATGAGGAGATCGGCGATGGCACGACCGGTGTCGTTGTGCTGGCAGCGGCCATGCTTGAACAAGCCTCGGACCTCATTGACAAAGGCATCCACCCTATCCGGATAGCCGACGGATACGATCAGGCCTGTGAAATCGCCGTTGCCGAGCTCGACAGAATCAGTGACGAAATTACATTCAGCCAAGATGATATCACCAACCTCCTCAAAGTGGCCAAGACCAGTCTGGGCAGCAAGATGTACGGATTTCTAGCTGTATATTAGTTCTGGTTGATGCTAACAGTTTTCATAGTGTCTCCAAGTCCCACGACCAATTCGCCAAGATCGCTGTGGATGCCGTGCTCTCGGTTGCCGACTTTGAACGCAAGGACGTCGACTTCGAGCTGATCAAGGTCGACGGCAAGGTCGGCGGTTCTATCGAGGACTCCCTGCTTGTCCGCGGTGTTATTGTGGACAAGGACTTCTCTCACCCCCAGATGCCCGATGAAGTTCGGGATGCTAAATTGGCCATCTTGACCTGTCCCTTTGAGCCTCCCAAGCCTAAGACCAAGCACAAGCTTGATATCACATCCGTTGAGGAATTCAAAAAGCTGCAGGACTACGAGAAGGAGAAGTTCACAGAGATGATCCAGCAGCTGAAGGAATCAGGTGCCAACCTGGTCATTTGCCAGTGGGGCTTCGATGATGAGGCCAACCACCTTTTGCTCCAGAATAACTTGCCTGCTGTTCGTTGGGTTGGTGGGCCTGAGATTGAGTTGATCGCCATTGCCACGAACGGCCGTATTGTGCCCCGCTTCGAGGATCTGACCTCTGACAAGCTCGGCACCGCTGGTGTTGTCCGCGAGATGAGCTTCGGAACTACGAGAGAGAAAATGCTGGTCATCGAGGAGTGTGCCAACACCCGCGCAGTGACTATCTTCGTTCGTGGAAGTAACAAGATGGTGAGTCAATCTTCGCACCATACGTAAGGAAATGTGCTGGTAACTAACTTCAGCTACAGATCATTGATGAGGCCAAGCGTTCACTACACGATGCTCTGTGTGTTGTCCGCAATTTGGTGCGCGATAACCGCGTGGTCTACGGTGGTGGTGCTGCTGAGATTGCTTGTTCCCTCGCCGTCGAGGACGCCGCTGTGAAGAGCCCCGGCATTGAGCAATATGCCATGCGCGCCTTCGCCGAAGCGCTGGATGCCGTGCCCTTGGCGCTTTCCGAGAACTCTGGTTTGAGTCCCATCGAGACCCTTGCCTCTATCAAGTCGCGTCAGGTCAAGGAGAAGAACACCCGTCTCGGTGTTGACTGCATGATGACTGGCACTAACGGTATGCCCCGAGAAAATCATTCTATACTTTGTTCTGTTCATCAGCTAACTCGTGCTCTGTAGATATGCGTGAGCACTTCGCTATTGACCCCCTGATTGGCAAGCGCCAGCAACTTCTGCTCGCTACGCAGCTGTGCCGTATGGTTCTTAAGGTACTACTCACATTCCCTTTTCTATCACGCTTGATGCTAACCCTCAAATAGATCAACAACGTCATTATCTCCGGTGATGATGAGTCTGAGTTCTAGATCACTAGATCCTAGTCCTATTCTACGATGGTAAAAGAAAAAAAAACTGATGAATCTGGTTTGCTATGTAAAAACATGGTCCCTTACATAGAACCCTTTTAGTTTCAATAAAAACGAAAGGATTGATAATGTCTCTATCTGGTCACTCCTTCTGGTCTCGCTCTTAGTAGATAAACAATAGCTCAGGAGGGCATCTCATTCTCAGTAACCAACCTGAGTGCTATGCACATCCACAAGAGAACCTAACCAAAAGCCTTTCAGTACGACATATTCGTCTCACCAATGAATCCCAAACACCCATAGTTCCCGATTCGGTCTTGTTCCTTCTTACCCAGGACCACACGGTATGAACCGGAAGTCTTCGCCGAAGCCATGGCAAGTAAATACCAGTAAGTATGGCATGTAAAAACTACTATAGGCCTAAAGCCAACGTTCCCACACCAGCACAAGTTCGTTTTCGTGGGAGATCCGTGCTTCCATTCGGGATGGTAAGGGATTGTCTGTGTTCACGAGGGTCACCCGATATGCCGAGGAACAACAACGTACCCAAAAGAAGACAGATGTACTCCCACCTCAACGTCGACTGACAAATTTGGCTTTTCCGGGCCTGGCTTCCGTTTAACCTCGGTGCGAATTTGTGGAGGGTGTCTATATTTTCTGTCATGTTCTTTCCCAATAAGGTCTTCTAGACTAATGGACGAACGTATCTGGTAGCTGGTGACCTGTCCCATAATGGGGATATACATCGCCTTGTTACCCAAATACGAGAATGGAATCTTAATGTTGGAGAAGAAGATTACGCAACCAATGTATACTTTTTCTTAGGGGACACCTGAAGGCTTGCGTGGGACTTTAGATCACGATGTTCTATCAAACGGACGATGCGTTGGCATTCTGTATATTTATATTCTCCCAGTGACATTCCTGGGGGTTTGCTGGTAGTGTCAGATGTAACTCCGATTTGTTTTCTTGCAGAAATACTTTGTAGAGCGAAGATCTAATCACCTCTGCATGCACAATATAGAGAACCCCCACTCTACGAAATAATATGTACAACAACCAGATGCGGACACCAACACAAAAGAGTAGTGATACACGCTATTCATACAAGCTATAACATTTATTACAGGTTATACGAAATTCAGAACAAGCTCACTGTCGCGAATGTGCTGTGTTCTACTGTATCGTCGTGACCCTAGGAAAGAAACTACTTCGAGCCACAAAGTGTCAGCCTATGGGACGGACTGGAATTGTGAATTGAACATAAAGTAGGTAATGATAATAATTCTCAGAGCTTTCTTCAGCGGGACGCCCGAATCAGAATTTGAAGGTGACGGCCGCGTACTCAGTCTCAGTTTCGGCGGGATGGATATATTCATAGCTGTACGAAAACGTACCCTGGCCGTCATAGAAAGGGCGTCATTATTTTTAGGCTCTTTTAGTGTGTATAGAGGAATATAGTTTTCCTTTCTTTTTCCCGTCTCCTTCTTGAACCGGCATGATAGAGCTTTCAGCTTCGTGCAGGGCTTCAGGCGTTGATGCTAGTCACAGTGCATGGAAGTACGACCCCAGTTCCCCGCGACTCGTGGACCACAGGATTGAGAATTCTGCTATTCAATACAGCTCAATTGAGGGTGAGACAGGTCTAGACCAGTTCTATTTTCTCTTTTTCTTAACTGTTAATGTCTGGGGCAAATGGGACATTGGAGGCTGATTGCATGCTTAACCAGAGGTGTTGATCCATGAGATGGATGTCCACTTATATGTGTGGTATTGCATTGCTAAGCAGTCCAAGCGGTGGATCACTTCGGTCTAGACAATAAAAGAGTCAATGTATATTGAAAGATCGCATAGCCAGACCCCATCTGTATACCATACAATGAAGGTATCACCTATCCGTCGTATTTTGAAACAGCAGCTGTGCAGGGAAGCCATAAATGTCGAAATACCACATTGCCGTACAATTCTAAAGCAAACGAGGCAATAGTAAGTGTCGTGCCAGGATAAAGACCTTATCATGAATCATTGCCATATCAGCACCCCAGCTACATCGAGCATGTCTATACATAGCACACACGATTTCAACACGCATTGCATCCCGCGGCAGATCAATTTAAAGTCCCCCATGGCCTGCAGCAGGTCGTGTTGCAGGGCATATTTATTGGAATATTGGAAAACAGGCGGCAGCCGCCACCACAGGAGACGGACGTCAGCTCCAGCATAACCGTAGGTGAGTACGCCGGGGCACAACGTACCCTACCTGGTAGAGTAGGTACTTGTGTACATGGATTGGTTCGATCTTCCATCTCGGGCCGAATGCAAACCCATCGCTGCGGTGTGACGACCGCTGACAGGTACGAGTGCTAGCCCCGATCTGGCGCCCATTTTCGTGTCTGGGGCGAGATTGGAA